CAATACTTAAAAAGTTGTGGACAACACAAGAGGTTTATACAAGAGCTACAGCCCACAGATACTCACTTGGCAATACTTAAAAAGTTGTGGACTACACAAGAGGTTTATACAAGAGCTACAACCCACAGATACTCACTTGGCAATACTTAAAAAGTTGTGGACTACACAAGAGGTTTATACAAGAGCTACAGCCCACAGATACTCACTTGGCAATACTTAAAAAGTTGTGGACTACACAAGAGGTTTATACAAGAGCTACAGCCCACAGATACTCACTTGGCAATACTTAAAAAGTTGTGGACTACACAAGAGGTTTATACAAGAGCTACAGCCCACAGATACTCACTTGGCAATACTTAAAAAGTTGTGGACTACACAAGAAGTTTATACAAGAGCTACAGCCCACAGATACTCACTTGGCAAATACTTAAAAAGTTGTGGACTACACAAGAAAGTTTATACAAGAGCTACAGCCCACAGATACTCACTTGGCAATACTTTAAAAAGTTGTGGACTACACAAGAGGTTTTATACAAGAGCTACAGCCCCACAGATACTCACTTTGGCAATACTTAAAAAGTTGTGGACTACACAAGAAGTTTATACAAGAGCTACAGCAAACAGATACTCACTTGGCAATACTTAAAAAGTTGTGGACTACACAAGAGGTTTATACAAGAGCTACAGCCCACAGATACTCACTTGGCAATACTTAAAAAGTTGTGGACTACACAAGAAGTTTATACAAGAGCTACAGCCCACAGATACTCACTTGGCAATACTTAAAAAGTTGTGGACTACACAAGAGGTTTATACAAGAGCTACAGCCCACAGATACTCACTTGGCAATACTTAAAAAGTTGTGGACTACACAAGAGGTTTATACAAGAGCTACAGCCCACAGATACTCACTTGGCAATACTTAAAAAGTTGTGGACTACACAAGAGGTTTATACAAGAGCTACAGCCCACAGATACTCACTTGGCAATACTTAAAAAGTTGTGGACTACACAAGAGGTTTATACAAGAGCTACAGCCCACAGATACTCACTTGGCAATACTTAAAAAGTTGTGGACTACACAAGAAGTTTATACAAGAGCTACAGCCCACAGATACTCACTTGGCAATACTTAAAAAGTTGTGGACTACACAAGAGGTTTATACAAGAGCTACAGCAAACAGATACTCACTTGGCAATACTTAACAAGTTGTGGACTACACAAGAGGTTTATACAAGAGCTACAACAAACAGATACTCACTTGGCAATACTTAAAAAGTTGTGGACTACACAAGAGGTTTATACAAGAGCTACAGCCCACAGATACTCACTTGGCAATACTTAAAAAGTTGTGGACTACACAAGAGGTTTATACAAGAGCTACAGCCCACAGATACTCACTTGGCAATACTTAAAAAGTTGTGGACTACACAAGAGGTTTATACAAGAGCTACAACCCACAGATACTCACTTGGCAATACTTAAAAAAAGTTGTGGACTACACAAGAGGTTTATACAAGAGCTACAGCCCACAGATACTCACTTGGCAATACTTAAAAAAGTTGTGGACTACACAAGAGGTTTATACAAGAGCTACAGCCCACAGATACTCACTTGGCAATACTTAAAAAGTTGTGGACTACACAAGAGGTTTATACAAGAGCTACAGCCCACAGATACTCACTTGGCAATACTTAAAAAGTTGTGGACTACACAAGAGGTTTATACAAGAGCTACAGCCCACAGATACTCACTTGGCAATACTTAAAAAAGTTGTGGACTACACAAGAGGTTTATACAAGAGCTACAGCCCACAGATACTCACTTGGCAATACTTAAAAAGTTGTGGACTACACAAGAGGTTTATACAAGAGCTACAGCCCACAGATACTCACTTGGCAATACTTAAAAAGTTGTGGACTACACAAGAGGTTTATACAAGAGCTACAGCCCACAGATACTCACTTGGCAATACTTAAAAAGTTGTGGACTACACAAGAGGTTTATACAAGAGCTACAGCCCACAGATACTCACTTGGCAATACTTAAAAAGTTGTGGACTACACAAGAGGTTTATACAAGAGCTACAGCCCACAGATACTCACTTGGCAATACTTAAAAAGAAGCTGCGTTCTTTAGGTCCAGATGATGCTCCAGCCTGCGTTCACATAGAAATATATAAACAAGGATATATTGTCTAAGTATTCACAACACATGTATAATAAGGTTATAATCTACATTATCACTAATCAGCAGTTCTTTACAGAACCTCACTCTTGTCAGGGCATACCTGAAAGTTTCTCTTTCTCTAGCCAATTCTCCAGCTCTGTGTGCTTTCATAGCCAATGCATCTTTATTCTCTTGTATCCAAATCTGAGATCTGTTTTGCGTAGTTTTCTGCAAACTGTTTCTCCATTCTTCTTCTTCAGCATTCCGAGCCCTTGAGGTTAATTGCTGCAGATATCACCTGCCTCCATTCATCTCTCTGGTTGGCCTTCTCTTTCCAGTTGGTGACACCAAGTGTTTGCAGGTCTGTCTGGATATTATCTCTCAATCGTCTTCTTAGTCTGCCTCATGGTCTACAACCATAAATCTCCCTGGTGTATACGTTTTTACTTCTCTGTCATCTGACATTCTTTCAGTATGCCCCAACCATTTCAGTCTATTAGCTCTCATGACGCCAGTGATCAGTGGTGATTGAAACAGATTATGAATTTCGTTGTTGCTTCTCACTCTCCATTCACCGCATCTTTGATGGGTCCAAAGATGTGACGTAAGACTCTGTTTTCTAAAACCTGTGCCTTTTCTAACGCCACAATAATTTTAACACAGATAAAATACCTCAGCTTTCGGGACAGGGTGCTGTTGATAGGCCAATTCTACTTGATACTCAGATCAGGCAGAGGGTAGAAATCTATATAATGGTGTGAATATCTATGCTAATAATGTTCTATATAATGGTGTGAATATCTATGCTAATAATGTTTTATACAATGGTGTGAATATCTATGCTATAATGTTCACATTTGCATAGAAATGGTAGTATTCAGGAGACAATCTCACAATCTACACAGTAATGTTAGCATTAACATTATGTTACATTTACATTATTTTAACATTTGTGTAAGTATATAACTGCATATTAACATAACTTTACAGGTGACAAAGGGAAGTTAACCCTCATAGGCCAACACACATATAGTGAAGTCAAACCAATATACTAAAGAAAACACCCTATATTAAAGTGAACGCCCACACACAATATAGTTAGCAGCCCCACAGTAATGTTAATAAACATATACTAAAGTTAAGTTAGCACCCATGCAGTAAACTTTACGCCCACATACAATATAGTTAACAGCCACAGAGCAAAGTTAACAAACACATACTATAAAGTTAAGTTAGAACCTACACAGTAAAGTTTACACCCACAAACTATGTTAAGTTAGCATCCCCATATAGAAAACGCCTACACACAAAAGTTAAAACCCAGATAGTAAAGTTAACACCCACATATTAAAGTTAAGTTAGCACCCACACAATAAAGTCAACACCCACATAACAAAGCAGAGAGCAGGAAACACATCCAGAGAAGCCACTCACAGTTTTACACAAGTAGGTGCTGGTGGGTCCCAAGTGGCACTTAAGGTATTTGATGCTCCACTCAGCTTTGGGTCGATGCAGCAGGCCGTCCTCTTGAGGAACCAGGTTCAGCCGATTGCACATCTGGGAAATTATCAACAATAACCACAAATGATGAGGTGGAGCGGCTGATTGGCTGTGAAATCCACTTCGGATTTTTCATTTCATGGTTTGGACAGTATGAAATTTGAAATTTTTTTTTTTTTTTTTGTAAAGCTTTTATTAAGTACGCTTTTGTATGTATGTTTGTTAGTTTCTCTAGGCACAAAATTGCAGTTACTTTTCACACTATTTAATGATAAGCTATCCAGCTGAAATTATACGCTGACACATGCTTTGTGGATGACAATGCAACTAGTGTATCATTATTCTGAAAAAATGTACTCATATTTTTCTTCTACCTCACTCAGACAATCCACGATGTGTGATAGTCTTTCCCATTAAATGGCACCAAACCAAAGTCACATAATGCTAAATCCTTTTTTGGGAAAATCACAGTTTAACCTTGAGATCAAATGAAAATTGTGTAATTGGTTGAAAAGTAACACTTTATTTTGACCTGTCTGGAGTAGAAATTCAAGTGTCTGCCTTTAGCATATTGTAAAGTGATAAATTAAGTCCTGAAAATGCACTTGGGTGAGAATTATCAAAAATTACACCTAAGTGACCTAGGCATGGAGCTATTGATATACTCTCTAATCTTTTTATTAACATCTGGTCGCAGCATGCTACAAAAATCTGGTTTTCTCAATTCTGCTGTGTATCTAGCCACATTGCAGGTCATGCACTAGCAGGAGAACTGCCTGCATATGCATGTAGTAATAGATCCATAAAGCATTCTGAGGAAGCTAAAGATAGGCACACTTAGTGTTAAGTGACATCCACTGCTTCCGTGGGGTTACAGGGAGTGAGTATCTTTTACATTCTTCTCCAGAGCAATCTGGTGTGCTGAGAAATGAACAGTCTGATATACATTCTGCTTCTGGGGGTTACAGGTAGTGAGTATCTTTTACATTCTTCTCCAGAGCAATCTGGTGTGCTGAGAAATGAACAGTCTGATATACATTCTGCTTCTGGGGTTACAGGTAGTAAGTATCCTTTATATTCTTCTCCAGAGCAATCTGGTGTGCTGGGGAATGAACAGGCAGATATACATGCTGCTTCTGGGGATTATAGGTAGTGAGTATCTTTTACTTTCTTTTCCAGGGCAATCTGGTGTGCTTCTGCAGGACTTGAAAGTAAACTGATTCATGACAATGTAGATACGGTCAAGGCCCTAGGGAGAAAATGAACAAAGCAGAACAGCAAACATTTAATCACAAGCACATGAAAGAACAAGCAAATGACATAAACATACCTGCAACACAAAGGAATCAGAGACCAGTTCGGCACCATGCTCTTTGGCGTTGGACATCCAGTGACAAATGGAGAACTTGTGAAAATCAACTGATAGCTTGATTTTTCTGGAACACAACACAAGCTTGTCACAAAGTGAAAACCTTTCTGGCATTTTGTATGAACTCTGTATAGATGGCCAGAGCCGCTGAAAGCTTTATAGCACGACATTTGCCTACTAGTATGAAAGTCTCTGATCTGAATCTGCACTGTGGGGGACTTTTTATAAATGACCTGTTTATGACATTGACCAAATCATTTATTGGGTGCTGATTTATATATATATATATTAAGGAAACATAATTTTTTCATGCCAGTGCTCATGTTCAGAGTGTTACTGGTACCATCGGAGTTAAACTCTGTGCTTGCTACTAAAGATGGGGAAGGACTGCCTATGGGAATGCCAGAGTGCAGTAATGTAATTCCTAATTAAACATTAAATATTCACATCAGTGGCGCATCAGGCACATGATACTAGACTCTCAATTTTATTGAGCTTCAGCGGATGTTTAGGTCTACATCACACTGTCCGCCTTTACTTCCCAGGAATCCATTTGAGACTGGGTTGACCTGGGAGCCAGAGTGATTTTTTTTAATAAAATCCAGCTGGATGCATATTTCGCTTGGACATGTTTGCAGAATGTCTTGAGATACTTTGGCAAGTACAGCTCTCTCTGGTGGACAGGAGATGAACAAAATGAGATGTGGACGACCTAAAGAAACCTTGAAAAGGATAGCAGAAGGGGAAATGAAGGAATGCAAGCTGACATGGGATACCATGGGCAGAAAAGGCAGCAGACTGGCATCAATGGAATGCCTTATGTGCCAACAATGATATGAACTGAACAGATATAGATCATGGGTAGCAGAACAGGTAGCTACATATGATGTGATCATATCAGACTCCATGAACAAGCTTCGGATTATCTCAACAGGCAGCCTGTGCTCTGAATGGGCAGATAGCACTCGGAAGTCGCACTTAACCTTCCTTACCTAGATCTTAACATCTGGGTATACTGGAGGAAAAGGTAATGAATGAGTGGACCGGCTGGCAAGTAATGCACCAATGCCTGCAGGAAGATGCATGGACAGAGCAGATATCAAAGTTATATGGACTAGACTGGCATATAGTAACAAATCTCTTGATGTTAATAGTACTGCATGAATTGTGAATGAATTCTGCTGCAGCACGATTGTGCTGTCTTGGAGATCATGATAGGCGACATTATAACTTCTCATAGGGACAATAAGTAGAGGTACCCCGGAGTAGCTGAGGCACCTAAGGTTTGAGCCCACATGGAAATGACTTGTATGCAGTGACGTCAACTGTGATAACACACCTTATGACAAACACCAGTTCACCAGTTTTTCAGTTGCAACAATGAGGGACATTTCATTTGATTTGCATGGCACCGGAATGGAGCAAGTATGGGAAAACCCAACTGCAGTGATGCTGAAACCTCGACTAAGATTAAGGCAAACACACACAAAAACAGATATGTTTAAAACTTAATTGGTAATATCTTTTTTTTTTAAAGCAAACCAGACATTTCTACTAACTATAAAAGAAATTAGACAAGATGAAAGCTTACTTGTAATGTCTTGTAAGCTGTAACTTGCGTGGGGTTGTCACAGAAAACAACTTGCCTCGACGCACTGGTCTGGTGACACTGAACATACAGTTCTACAGGAGATACAAACACACCATTAGTGAAGTATGAAACACAACATAAACTGTTAGTTCCATATGCTTGACTGGATGTTCCAGAACCAACCAAAGCATTTTTGGGGCTATTGTGGTTTTTCTAAGAAAAATTTAATTCAGTAGTTTGTCATTGCTCTCGGAAGATTGACTCTTGGTACGGATGTCGAAATCAACACAAGACGGCCTACTACCAAATTGCCTGCAGTTGGGATCAAACCTCGTATGCTGGCATTACGAATTGTGTTCGCAACACCTAAGCAAGCCACAGAACTGTTACTAGAGTTGATAGAATGATAAAGAAGCGCACAAAAATAACAGAACATTTCTGCCCAAGTCTTTATCAAAGGAATACTATTATATACAAGGGAAGTGGACTGAAGGGTTTATTTCAAATTAGGGAAGCATTCACTTGTGAATCTCACAACCCTATTTCTGCCATCATCTTGGAAAGAAATGAGTACGCTCATACACACACAATTTTCTTTTTAAACACACACACACACACAAATACATTGGGGACACTGGAAAGAAGTGAGCAGTTCAGTATGTGAACATCTAATGGATAATTACAACAAGCTCTTAAATCAACTGTAACAGTTCTGATCACAAAGGCGAAAATGACATCTCAGTTTCTGCTGTATAATCTTGTTCTGGTGCTCAAACCAGCAGTCTCCTTGGAAAACTGCTTTAATCAAAGTTTTGACATTTGACTTTATTTAAAATTTTATTTCATTTATTGAACTTCTTTATATTTTTTGCCCCATTCTTTTTAAATATCTGCTTGTTAGTTTTATTCTGTAATGAAGCCCTTGGTGTCCACATTTTTTCCCATGATGTATTTTTGGTTTCTGTAACAAGTATTGAAGATTAGTGTTAAGGCAAGGTGTATGTTGAGAGAACTGGCTTCATTAAACCTGGTTTTATCCCATATTGCTCAGTCTTTCTCAGCAGAATGCTTGCTATCTTAGTTGACTAATTAGACATGCTTGTTGGGGAGGCTGTGGGTCTATTGTTGTTTTTCCCACAATGGTGCCAGGGAACCCGGGGAGTTCAGAAAATGAGCCCATAAACCTTGTGTGACTGGCTAAGCAACCAGTCAAGTGAACATCCGACCAAGAAACAGTGAAACAGTCTACAAAGAGTGTGATAAGAGTCGTTGCAACTTCTCTGGCAAACCTCTATACTATACACCAAGGTAGAAGTGGATCGACTAAGTGAGTAATCACGTAGAAACCAAAAAAACTGTCTGTCTTCACTGGCTTTTTTTATCACTTTTTTTTGCAATGGGGGGGGGGGGGGGGGGGGGGGGGGGGGGGGGGGGTGGGGGGAGGGTTTTTGAGCCTGATAATTTATAACTGCATGGCTGGTGTAGTTGCCATGAAGTGTGCAAGTTAGAATTTTATTTTTTGCACCCACAGAGAGAAAAAAAATCCAAAACCTTACCAAAAAGATTTAAACCTGGGTATCTTAACTAAATAACCAGCCACTATCCCCTCAAACAAACGTAATTAGGATTTGCACAGGGGTTGACCCACACATATACATAAGAACTCACCCGAATCTTCTCCAGGAAGCGAAGCGTGCTCGCATAGAACTCCGGGCATGATGGGATATCCTGCAGGTTGTCAGTCACAGGTTTCGTCTTCAAGCTCAGCTCCAGGTTGAGGTTTTGTGACCTGAAGGCTCGGAAAGAATCATGCTCCTAGAGAGGACACAAATGGCAGTTCATGACAATTTTATTTATATCGACGTCCTCTTCATGTCACTGCTGACACAAACAGCATTCACACGGGATCTCTACTGCTGCTGGTCTGCATACAGTATCCCATGTCAGTTTACATTCCTTTTCTACTGTTCTCCAGGTTTCTGTGGGTCATCTACTTCTCCCTTTTTCCACCTGCCGTCCACCAGAAAGCTGTCCTCGCCAAAGTGTCAAGAGGCATTCTGCCACACATCCAAGCCATCTCCATCCCCTTTTCCCATGCTTTTGTGTTTATGCTTGATATTCATAGTATCATCAATCATTAAATTCTCTTTATGCCTGCTGGCACATGAGGCTTCAGAGAGGACTTTCCATGCTTTACATGCAGTTTTCCATGTCAGAGATGCTGCACTGAATTCACTTTCCATTTTTCGTCTCCATGTTGTTTTTGGGCGCCCCTTCTCACTTTCCCTTTCCCTCTGGTGTTCTTTTGAAAGCTGTTCTAGCAGGTATATCAGGATTCATTCTCATAACGTGGCAAAGCCATTTCCATCTTCTCTTAGTTATCATGTCGGCTCTGTGGCTAAGTCGATGCGAACGCTTCATAATGCTGGGATGACGGGTTCGATCCCAGCTGTGGGCCATGCGCCTTGCGTTGGTTTCGACAGTGGTATCAAGAAAGCCGACCGTCCAGAAAGCAATAGCAAACTATTGGATGTAAATTTGCCTAGAAAAACCACACAACAGCTAGAGGCTGTTGGGGTTGGTTCTGCAACGTCCTGTAAAGGATACGCAACTAACCTTAGTTATCATACTGTCTAGAGTTTCTTGGTTTGTGACATGAAGTAGCTTAGTGTTTGAGATTGTATCTGGCCAGAAAATTTTGATAATTCTACAAGTGGTGGAAGGTGGATAGCTTGTGCGCATCCTTTTTTTGTGTGTCATTCTCCAGCATTCTGCTCCATATTAAAGAACTGGCAAAATGATGCTCTTGTAGAGTCGGAATTTCATTCCTCTGCAGCTCTAGCTTTGTTCAGACGTGACTGTATGTCTTCCTCTGTCCCTCCCACTAGGGACACCATACTGCCAAGATACGTAAACTGTTCTACATTTTCAAGTGTTTGGTTATTTTTGGTCACTGATTGTTGGTTTGGACTGTTTGTCATGATCTTAGTTTTTCTTGTATTTATTCACAGTCCCACCATTTCTGCTGTGCTGTGTAGTCTGTTACTTTTCTCTTGTAATATTCATAGTATGCATATTATTATATGATAATTTTGAAAAGTCTCTAATTTATGAATGACAACTTGGTGACTGATTAATCTGATAAGTGTGAAGGGAAATTCTAGATGACTCTCATGTCGACAGAAGAAAAAATGATAGATTGTGACAGACTGACTGAATGATCGGGGTGATGGATAAATTTGACTGATAAATTGATCTGTAGGCTGAGCTGACTGATGGATTGATCCGATCTGTGGATTTATCTGATTGAGGGATTGATCTGATCTGTGCATTTATCTGACTGATGGAATGATCTGACTGATGGATTTATCTGACCGATGGACTGATCTCATCTGTGGGCTGATCTAAATGATGGATTTATCTAAATGATGCTGACTGATGAATTGGTCTGATGGATTGATATGACTGTTGGACTGATATGACTGATGGATTGTACTGACTGAGAGACTGAGCTGATCTGTGTATTAATATGACTGATAAAGATGGTTGTAAAACAACAATCTACCACAACCATACCTGGAGAGAAAAGTCAGGAACTCTGTCAGGAGCACATGGCATAATGGAATGATGGTCATTGGCATCCCCCAGACACAGCCACTCAAGCCCCACCCTGTGGAGGAGAACAATCACAACCCATCAATTCCCATTAACAAACTATTGGTATTTCTATGGCACGCTTGCCTGCAAATCTGAAGGTCATGGTTTCGGGTCCTGATTAAGCCTGAGTTTTTTTTTTTTTGGGTTTTTTTTTCAAAATGACCTTGGTTCTCATGTTGACCCAGCCTTAAATGTACACCAGATAAAGTTCTCGGAAGTAAAGCCGGCTGGCGTGATGTTGACCACATCCTCCATCTAGTACTGACTGATCTATAATATATAGATACAGCCCTATATGCCTGAAGGCATGGAGAAAGGGTCCTTTTATTTTAATTTTATAATTTAAAAATAATTTATCTTTATTTTTTCTATTATTTATTACCATGGTCATAAAAGTAAGTAAAGTACTCTTTATCACCATGTCATTTACATATCGGACATACGATCGATCAATTGTTTTGTGCCCTCAGGGCTGCAACCAGAAGGTTTCCCACCCTGAGATAATAAACATTTCAATCTAGACAGCAGACAACAAGACAGATCCCATATACCCTGTTCAACCTCGAAAGAAGTTTAATTAGATAGTCGATAGATTATCCTCTTTGCACATGTTGAGTTGAGTTGAGTCAAGAATTGACATCACAGCACTCGGGGCATTCCCATGCATGCTCCTTCCTCATCTTCAGCAGCAGCTCAGAGTTTCAATACTGATGGTACCGGTCACAATCTGGTTAAATGTCCTCTGAATGTAGTGAGCAGGCTTGACCCTCTGACCACACCTAGCTGTCTCATTCTCTCCAGGCCATAATAATCTTCTTTCTCCACTGATTCCATTGCTTGTTCCCAAAGGCCTTGAACACATCTGCCTTGTCATGTATCAATTCACCACCTATGATGAGGATTCTGCCAATCTGTCTGCCTGTTCATTACCTGCCACACCAGCATGGCCTGGAGAAAAGATCCAAAGTATGCTCACCACCCATGACCTTTCCAGTGAAGCTAGCCACTCTGCTCAAAGCATCTCTGTCTTCATCTTTTTCAGCATGCTTTCAGAGTCTGTTACAATTACGACATGTGTATACATCTTGTTCTCTAGACACCGCAGAGCTGCAGTTACCGCCTCCACCTCCATTCTCATGCTAGATGTTGTGGTGTCGTTTGCTAGGCTGTCTTGCACTAAAGATTTTATATTGGCTTTGCGCATCAATCAAACTACACAGTCTATAAGTGCTCAGATCCCCTCCTCCGTAAATCCTGCAGCGTTAAGTGGCTCACGACGCGAGTTCTGTGTTGATTTCTTTTTTTCTGTGCCTTTCTGCATAGCACTGACCATACCACTCTTAACATGTCTGGTCATGGTTGCAGATTCACAAACATTTCTTGGTTCTCGTCGAGCATAGAAGTATTCAGAATATTAGCCTGGTCCATTGCTCATCTGCCCTCCACAGTAGCTTTACCTGTCAGCCAGGAGAAGAAGTTTGATCAGGTAATGGCCAGCCCAGCCAGGTGAAACAGCAGTCCTGTGCGGGTAAGGACTGGGCACATGTAAAAGGTAAAGGTAAAAGTAAAGTCAGGAGATGTGAACCTGCGTCACTGCACACGGTTACAAACCATAAGTGATCTGTCACCAGTACAGACAGCTGATAAGAAACTGTACGCCTGTGTCGCCGTCGCACACAACTCTGTAGCTACATCGACGTTCCTCCATTTACCCCAGAGTGTTTTGTTAACTCTGGTACTCATTTCCTAGAGGCTGGGTGAACCCCGGGAACCCCCCCAGTTTAGAACACCGGCTGTGGGCTGCAGCAAGTCGCAGGTGGATTTGAAAGCGAGTCTCCTAACGCGACCCCCTGGGCGCATGATCCAAGATCAGCAGCTCTCAACCTGCCGGCCACCATTTTTTTTTTGGGGGGGGGGGGGGGGGGGGAGTGGTGGGGGGGGGGGGTCGAATCACCCTTCCACAGGGGTCGCCTAAGACCATACAAAAACACATATTCATTTAAGTTTTGAAGAAAAAAAATTACTGTATTTAAGGGTTGCGGAATTAAGAAGGTTAAGAGCCACTGTTCTAGACTATTAAATGGACCAATCGGCATTCAGTATGTGACGTGATCAACATCATGCCAGCCACCTTTACTTCCCAAGATTTTAACTGGTAACTCATTTTAGGCTGGATGACCTGGCAGCTAAGTTCATTTTTAAATAATCCAACTCATACTTCATTGGTTTTTACAGCCTAATTATTTTACAGGCCAGCGTTTAGCTGCTACATACACTGCACGTTTACCACCCACAAAATGCCATTAAGCCAACCGCACATCTCACATTTACCACCCACACAATGCCCTTACACTACGCACATATCAAACATTAACCACTCATACAATACCCTTACAATACCCATATAGCTCACATTTACCCGTCACACAATGCCCTTATACACTGCCCACATATTTCACACTTACGACCCACACAACGTGCCCAGCTACCTGAAGGTGAGGTTCGGCAGATGAAGCAGCTTGCTCTCGTTGTACTTGGAGGCTGTCCTCACAGAGATGTCCAGGTCCCCCTGCAGGACAAACTGGCCTGGCAACAAACACACATGACCAGGCATTAGTGCTGACTGACATTCATAAAAGTCACAGGAAAGTATTCAGATACTACTTTCAACTGTTTCAGTCCCTAGGGGTTTAGCATCAGAGGTTTAAGGGGTAGCAATGAGAGATGTTAAATCAGTGTATGCTGCATCTGGGTAGGAACCTGTGAACGTATGATACATTCCTTGGGACTGAAAGAATTACGTCATTAAGCAACAGATGAGATGGGTTGGCCATCTCACAAAAAGATGGGTTGGCCAGCTGAGGAGAATGCTCTGGTACTGGTACTAACAGCAAGAGATAGACCAAGAACAATATGGGAAGATAACATCAGAGAAACTCTACAGCACCACAAAAGAGCATGATGCAGTAAAAGAGAGCATAAAGAAGAAGAAGAAGAAGACTGGTCCTGTAATGAAGAGAATTTCACTGGGTTTTCTTGATGATGCTATATACAGCCAAAGAGAAGATAAGTGAGGAACACATTGGAAGGCAAAGACTCAGGAAAACAGGAAGATTTAACAGCGATACGGAGAGAAAATGAGAAATGCTGTGTCAAGTTAAAATGAGAAATGCAATTTTCAAGTTAAAATGAGAAATGCAAAGTTCAAGGTAAAAATTAGAAATGCAAATTTCCAGGTAAAAATGAGAAATGTAATGTTCAAATCAAAATGAATAATTAAATGTTCAAGTTAAAATGAGAAATGCAAAGTTCAAGTTAAAATGAGAAATGCAATGTTCAAGTTAAAATGAAAAATGCAATGTTCGATTTAAAATGAGAAATGCAAAGTTCAAGTTAAAATGAGAAATGCAATGTTCTATTTAAAATGAGAAATGCAAAGTTCAAGTTAAAATGAGAAATGCAATGTTCAAGTTAAAATGAGAAATGCAATGTTCAAGTTAAAATGAAAAAGATAATGTTTACTAATACTACAGTCCTTTCTGTGGCCAAAGTCTCTACAGTAAACACCCACCGTTGGTCCAGTCCATGATCAAATGTGTCCAGGTCCAGTCCATGAGCTCCGTGTTGTTGTAGGGGTCAAACGAGGCGTGGTACAGCCAGCTCATCTTATTGATGGACCAGGTGAACCGCCCGTGGAAAAGCAGACGCATCTTATCCCAAAAGGGTAAAGGTCGGCTGGGGTCAACCGAGGGTCGGCTGATAAGATCCATGTTGAGGTTGAAGAGAGCTGCGGCCGGCTCCCAGCAGACGCCATAAGCCAGGGTGAGGGAAGTCATGTCTGAGGGCATAAAAGGATATTTAGGTCAAAGCAATAAGGACAACTAGAGAAGATTCTTGACAGCCTTTCGTCATGGCATGGAGGGGAGTCAACACGCACTGATTTTTTTTTTTTTTTTTTTTTTTTTTTAATCGATCACCGGCTGTGAATTCCAGTGGAAGGTCCCGGTTAATCGTCCGCTTGGACTTTTGGCTTTCACCTGGACCTGATTTTTGCGTGTACAACCGTTTTTCATTTCCCTGCCTCATGGGCAGCTGTACTCCGACTTCGAAGGAAGACGTCAGGCCTATTTCTAGTTGACTGTGGCCATTGTTTGTGTGTGGTCGTGACGTTGCCTGATTTGTGTGGTGTCCACTTTGTCCCCTTCGCCGCAGGTATTGCCCTCGGAGTACCCCTTTGGGGCAGCCCCCCTGTGGAACAGTTAGCCCTCAAGGGAAGGCAGGGGCAGATCATGGGCATTCCCCGCCATCCAAGGAGGCTTCCATGCATGCAGAGCCGGCACATGGCGCTCTGGTTCTGGGCTCACCCAAGGAATCGTCACGTCCTGCACATGCCTGCTTAACCTCACAACCGTATCAGGCCTCCCGCTCGACAGGGGGCTGCGTCCTCTGGAAGTCAGCGGGGAGCAGCCCGTGGGTTTTTGGACTTTTGTGACCACACAGATAGGTACATTCCTTTTTTCCCGCACGTTAGATTTCTTTGACGAGCCGTTAGCCCGACAGAATTTTACATCCTGCATCAGGCATATCGTTATCAGTTTTGTCCCAACACTCGGGCGAGTGGGTCTTTGGGTGTGAACATTCGGTCTTTTTTTTCAGTTCAATACAAAAATTTTGGTGGTCAGATTTTGATCCGTAAAGATCTAGTTTTGTCGGACAATTAGGCTTGGCCATCCGATGGTTGGTTGCTGTTGTGGTGTACCTCAGCGCGGTGACGACGACACTGAGGTTAACCGAGGATGTACATGAATGGTCAGCCTATGGATGGTTGCTGTTGTGGTGTACCTCAGCGCGGTGACGACAGACACTGAGGGTTAACCGAGGATGTACAAGGATGGCCAGCCTATGGATGGTTGCTGTTTGTGGTGTACCTCAGCGCGGTGACGATGACACTGAGGGTTAACAGAGGATGTGCAGTGAAACAATGTTCTCTTTACTCCGCAGTCTTTTAACCAAGGTTTGTATTTTGGCTGTACGTTTGGCAGACCTACTCATGTTCCTAATGAGTTTTTGTAAACATTTTTCACCCAAGCGTTTGGGGGCGGGCTGATGGGAGCCACAAGGACACATCACCTCTGGGGGCCGCCGAACTCCGAGATCCCCTGACAGCTCTGTTAATGCTCATTTGAGACATTATCCGTGGCGCACGACGAGGACGTGCTGTAGGGGTCTTGCGCGAGGTTCCGTACAACCAGGATAGTAAAGGACTGGCGCCCGAGTGACGTACGGAGTATCTCCTTATACACATCAAGTTGGACTTAACTTCCCCTCACACCTGTGACATAAATCACCGCGCCACAACACGCACTGATGAAGATCGCACATTGTGGTGAGGCATGAGTGACCATGCTAGTCGACACGGCACTTGATAACGAAGGAAAAGGGGCTTAAGTTACAAGTCAGCATCGTAGTTTCCTCCTGCAAAACTGACAATATGCAAAATTCTCTGGCACAATGTTGACCTCTGAGTACCAACTGGTCGACACATTTTAGCCTAGCATTATTTGCCGGACACACTTCTTGCATTTAAAAAAACAAAAACAAAAAAACAAACAAGGGTCCTCTACTTATTTACTCCTATTGGCAACCGGAGTCGCCTGTTGGCTCGCTGGTTGACGACTTTGTCGCTGGGAAAGACATTTTTTTGTTTTTTTTTGGGTGCTATGTTCCATCTAAGCCTTTTTAACATTCTTATGTCCCCTATGTAACTTAAACTCTTGACAAGACCATCTTCGAAATGCCCCCCTTAACGATCAATCTCCCCCCACCCCCCTAAATCAAATTGTTGACCTTCCAATCACCCCCCCCCCCCCCAACTAAAAATTTTCCCCCCCCCCCCCCCCCCCAACAATGAAATTGCCCCCCTTAACAATCAAATTGCCCCCCCTTAACAATCAAATTATTCTCCTTAACAATCAAATTGTCCCCCCTGTTGGGCTTGGGCCCCAGGCTGTGAAACACTGACCTTCACTGATGGGCACAATGTAAGATAGAGCAAAGCTGACACACGGCTGTGGACATAACATTATAACCAAAGCCACACAGCCTGGACAGCAAGGAGTAGCACTTCTGGTTTGGACTGACATTTGTTTCACGATATAAGGAGAAAAAGTGCTGAATCATGTTCAGTAAAGGACTTGCAACATCATGATGAAAATGATGATGATGATGATGATGATAAAGACAATGGTGATGATGATGATGATGATGATGACAAAGACAATAGTGATGTTGAAGTTAATGATGAAGAAGAAGAAGATAATCAAGAAGAAGATGATGTTTTTGATGATGATGATGAAGATGAAGAAAGAGATTCTGATGACAAAGAAAAAGATGAAGAAGAATTTTAAAAAATGATGATGAAGAAAATGATGAAGAAGAAGATGATGATGAAAACAATGATGAATATCATAATGATGATGAAGAAGATGATGATAAAGATATGACGATAAAACATTTACCACAGCTGAAGTCATGAAAGAACTTCATCGCTGGCAGATTTCTCTCAACACTCATGGCTTCCCACGGCTTGTCTAGCTCCACCTGGCATGTCCGCTTGGCTGAGACAGACAGTTCAAACATCAACTTATTTTTTATTTCTCTTACCACTTCTGCTGATCTTACTGATTTATATATATAGATATCTATATACACACACACACACACACACATATACATACAAACAGTATTAAAAGTCTATGGTTAAGCACCAGTTAGAAAATCGGTGTGTTGGGAAATGAGCAGGCAGACAGACTGGTCGGTTTTGCACCATTTGGTGGTAAACTGATGTATGACAAGCTGGATGTTCTGAGGGCCCTTTAGGAGCGAGTCAACAGTGCTGAGGCCCAGATAGATCTTTACGGTCTGAGGAGAATGGCGCTGCGAGGAGTTACAAGGGGATGTGGCAGACTCTCGACACTCAGGGGAAAGGCGAGACAGATATACAATCAGACAGTTACTGGTACCATCAGAATTGTAACTGAAGATGGGGACAGAGAGCTAATGGGGGGTCTCCCGAGTGCTGTGATGATGATTCTTAATTCAACATTCAAGGAAATCAAATTAAAAATTTTTCAGAGTGTGCATATTCGCTGTAGCAACATACCATGTGAGTCGTGGACTATCTCCCAGTCCTTGAGAAAGAAAATAGGAGCTTTTCAGCTTAAATGCTATAGAAAGATTCACAGAATATCTTGGACAAAGAAGAGAAGAAATATTGAAATTTCAACAGATCTGAACATCAAGGAAGATAGGCTAATAAATAACAACCTATCTCTTTCACGCCACACTTGTAATTTATCAATAAAGCATGTTATGTTTATTTCAAAATTTAGTAAAGTGAAGATCTCTTTTAAACCTTAGGCGCATCGGGCATATGGGAAGAGCATCCCATATTTTTACAGGCCAATTGGCACTAGGTGGGTAATGTGGTCAGCATTACGCCGACCGTCATTACTTCCTCAGGACAGCCATCCTGGTACCTTTAGGCTGGGTCGACCTGCGACACCCCATACTATGAAAAAATTCACACAGCCAGTAGTGGTTTCGATCGGGGTACGTTGGGATTAAGTGTCGGACTCGCAACGCCTAAGCCACAGAAAAAAAAATATACATTATGAATATTAAGTTTAAAAAACATACATATATATCTCATATATTTCTCATAATGAGAAAAGGAGCACTGGAAAATATCGTGATGACTGGAAAGATCACTGGTAGAAGAGGCAGAGGCAGACCAGGAGAAATTTTGGTGGATGGCTTCAGACAGTGGCATGGAGGAATATCATCAGTAGAACTGATCCAGAGCACTAATGACCGAGATCTGTGGTGTGGCATGAACGCCTACGCCAGCTGGCAAGGCACTTGATAATGATGATGATGATGACGATATACATTCCCATACATTTATACCAACACACAGATACACACCCTCATGCATACACATACAATCATATGTACACAATTATTCACACTAAAAACCAAACACGTACACATACTTTGACAGACTAGCACCATTTACCCACAAAACCATAAAATGGCAAATAGTCAGTCAAGTCCTTCACTTCCTCTCTTAATTATTCCCTTTATCCCCACCATTAACAACAACAAGTTACCACAACCATTCTCACCTCTTATTTCTTATCCTCTTCTCCTCCCTCCCCCCTACCTAAATGGCAATATAAACACAAGGCTTAAATTAACCCTCCCCCCCCCCTCCATCCCTGCAAGTGACAACACCAACAAGACACCATACTCAGGCTAACCTCTGTGAGTTCCTTCTCTCTCTGCTCCAATCAGCAAACCCCAGACATGCTTGTTCTGCACATCCACCATAGGCTGAGGGAAGTCCCTCAGAGACACAGACCACAACTTGATACTTGCACTGATGTAGCGGCACCACAGACTGGCAAACTCCATCGGCTCCTTCGGGAATGGACTGTGTGGAAGGGCAACAGGCACATCAATTCAAGGAACATTCACAATAATTAGTTAACTGCAGTTCCAAATTCACAGCAAACTGGTCAACCTATAGTTGCATCACTCCTGTGCCAACAAAAAGTACAAAGAAAGTCCATCCCTGTCCCTGCAGTCTCAGCAAGACCAACAGCATGCACATACACATTAAATGCATAAGGCAGCCATCAGATGTGCTAACACAGACAGTCTGGCACTAGTTATGCAGTTCGGCATCGAGGAAGGCCACAGTTATAACAGATCAATAGTTGCAAACGCAATTAATCGCAGCAGGCACCACCAGTTCTCCGACAACAGACCATTGGCCATTCTCTGCATCGCATGAAAAGTACATCACACAAAATGGACATTATACAAAATACACATCATATAAAATGGACATCACACACAATGGACATCATACACAATGGACAGCACACACAATGGACATACAGCAAAATAGATATCCCACACAATGGACATCACACAAAATCGACATCACACATAATGGACATCATACAAAATGGCCTTCGCTGTCCCATTTGAAAAACCAATAAAAAACATCAGTCCTAGCAAAATCTTGAAGCTCGCACACGCAAAGTAAATGGATAAGGCAGCTACCACATGTGACAACATTAACAGTCTCTAACAGAGTAAAACAGACATTTTGAATTATGATGATGATGGCAGAGTCAAAAGGATTTCTAGCAGTTAAAAACAACACATGACCCCCAAAAAAATACAATTTAAAAAAAAAACAAATGAAGTGAGCATCTAGCAGGGAACAAATGTGTCAATAAGTAAGTGAACTGTTGACCTCAAGCACCATGACAAGATCACCCATGTGTTACCGGTGCCTTCATGGGAAGCAAGAATCACAACACTGCATGTCCCAAGAGGTGACAACAGGTAAAGTTGGGCTTGGAATTGGCTACCTCACCCCGTACAAAAATAATACCCACAAAAACCAACTAATTATGAACAAATTGTTAACAGAAAAAGTTATATCCAGCAGACCAAGTTGTGTGGAGGCTCTTCTAATAGAAGAATAATGACGTGATGCAGAGAAAGCTGAAGAGAGTCCAGATCATCGACACACCTCCTTAAACCTATGAAAATCTCCAGAATGGATATCTGAAGCTGCATGCAATAACAAAGGAAGGCACATCCTGGCAGGAGCTGGTTGAGAGCCTACGCTCCACTGGAAGATAAAGGAAAGAAGAAAATAAAAACACGACAAGATTTAAACTCTAACCTCTCCATGTAGGTTCCAGGGCCCCACTGTGGGGGAAAACATGTTTCATAATGAGCACTTTAGCTGAGGTCCTATGCTCCACTGGAAGGCAAAAGGCAGAAGAAGAAGAGCATGACAAGATTCTACCTCTGACCTTCCCCTTCATGTGCTTGAGAATGTTCTCCTCGTTGTGGAAGGACGTGTCTGCCAGGGCCAGAAAGGAACCTGGCCAGTGTTGAATGCTGAATTAAGAATCGACATCACAGTACTCAGCTTAAATTCAGTGACAATTGAAGAGTTTCAATTGCGATGGTACCATAACTGTCTGATTGTATATTGCAGAGCCAGCCAGTCTGTCTGCCTGCTCATTTTCTAACACAACGGTATGACCTGGAGAAAACATCCAAATGATGCTAACTACCCAGGACCTATGCTCCACTGGAAGATATATGGCAAAAGACGAAAAGAATAACATGACAAGATTTGAGCTCTGACCTCTCCTTGTCGATCTCCTTCATATGCTTGAGAACATTCTCCTTGCCATGGAAGGACGTGTCAGCCAGGGCGGTGATGTAGAGGTCCTCCATCAGCCAAGTACATAGCTGTGATCTGACTGGGGTGGCTCTGTAGAGCTGCTGGGATCGCTGGATGTAGATCTCGGCACTCTTCTTGTCTAGGCTGGCATACAGCTCTTCTCTCTTGTTTACTAGCAAGTGGGGGGGTTGGGAGGTACAGCAAGGAGATGAGTTAAAGTTAGTTTCGTATCCTTTACAAAACGTTGCAGAACCAACTCCAGCATTTTTTGGCAGTTGTGGTTTTTCTAGGCACATTTCACGTTCAGCTCTTGGTACCATTGTCAAAACCAACGCAACAAAACCATCCCCAGCTGGGACTAAACCCAGAACTAAGAAGCGTGTTTGGCCACTGATGCTGCCATGGAGATGAGAGGCCTGGTCAATTATCAATAATTGTATCTTCTTCTTCTTTTAGCATTTACCAGCTGTAAACTGCGGTGAAAAGTTCTTGTTGTTCATCCACTCCTGGACTTTGGTTTTGAAAGACCAAAATAAAAATAAAAAGAGAGAGGGGGAGGGAGATACAGACGAGATAGTAAGAAAGAGAGAGAGAGAGAGAGAAAAAAAAGAGAAATAAAGACACACACACACAGAAAGAGAGGGAATGAACAATTTATTTTAAAAGGTTCACAAATTGGGCATGCAAGCCTGTCTTATTTTCAGACCTTTCAAACACGCATCTTTCAGGCCACACTTGAAAGGTATCAATAAAGCATGTCTATTTAAAAATATACATTATGAATTTTAAGTTAAAAAAAAACATACCAACACCTGGATGGTAAATGAAAGCATTTAAGTATATACACATAAATATAACATTTGCATACATATACTCTCATACATATATACCAACACATAGGTACACATCCTCATGCATACACATACGATCATATATACACAATTATACACACTAAAAAAAAACACATATTTACACATACTTTGATGGACTAAGACCATTTACCCACTAAACCAGAAGATGGCAAATAGTCGGTCAGTCAGCCAGTCAATCAACCATAACCATTCAGCTTGCCAGCCAGCCAGTCAGTCAGTCAGTCAGCCAGTTAGTCAGTCAGCCAGCTAGCCTGCCAGTCAGTTAACCATAACCATTCAGCTTGCCAGCCAGCCAGTCAGTCAGTCAGTCAGCCAGGCAGCCAGTTAGTCAGTCAGCCAGCTAGCCTGCCAGTCAGTTAGTCAGTCAGTCAGTGTGAGCGACTGCTGACATGTACAGGCTTCAATAACAGCTTTACCTGGGATAAACTGCTTCTTCTGCAGCTCCATCAACTTGGCATCCATCACTTCTCTCCTCTTCTTACTTTCATTGCCTTCATCTTTGAGAAGCTGCAATACACAAAAAGGCATATCATGTATGTGAAACAGTAGTTAGTATGCTAACAATGGATCATGTATGTGAAACAGTGATCAGTGTGCACAATCATATATGTTAAACAATGATTAATGTGCACAATCATGTATGTGAAACAGTAGTTAGTGTGCACAATCATGAATGTGAAACAGTAGTTAGTGTGCACAATCATGTATGTGAAACAGTAGTTAGTGTGCACAATCATGTATGTGAAACAGTAGTTAGTATGCACAATGATGAATGTGAAACAGTGATTAATGTGCATAATCATGTATGTGAAACAGTGGTTAGTATGCACAATCATGTATGTGAAACAGTAGTTATGTGTGCACAATCATGAATGTGAAACAGTGGTTAGTGTGCACAATCATGTATGTGAAACAGTGGTTAATGTGCACAATCATATATGTGAAACAGTGGTTAGTGTGTTAACAGTAGACCATGCATGTGAAACAGTGGTTAGTGTGCACAATCATATATGTGAAATTGTGGTTAGTGTGCACAATCATGTATGTGAAATAGTGGTTAGTGTGCACAATCATGTATGTGAAACAGTGGTTAGTATGTTAACAGTAGATCATGAATGTGAAACAGTGGTTAGTATGTTAAAAGTAGATCATCTATGTGAAACAGTGGTTAGTGTACGCAATCATATATCTGAAATAGTGGTTAGTATGTTAACAGTAGACCATGTATGTGAAACAATTGTTAGTGTGTACAATCATATATGTGAAACAGTGGTTAGTGTGTTAACAGTAGACCATGAATGTGAAACAGTGGTTAGTGCGCACAATCATAGATGTGAAACAGTGGTTAGTATGTTAACAGTAGACCATGAATGTGAAATAGTGGTTAGTGTGAACAATCAATTATGTGAAACAGAGGTTATTGTGCTATCAATAGACCATGTATATGAAACAGTGGTTATTGTGCTATCAGTAGACCATGTATGTGAAACAGTGGTTAGTGTGCTAATAGTCGTTCACGTATGTAAAACAGTGGTTAGTGTGCTAACATTGGATCACATATGTGAAACAGTGGTTAGTGGGCTAACAGTGGATCATGTATGTGAAACAGTAGTTAGTGTGCTCACAGAGTATCATGTATGTGAAACAGTAGTTAGTATGCTAACAGTGAATTATGTATGTGAAACAGTAGGCATGGATGTGTGCTTGCTTGCTCTCACCTCATAGTTGAGACCCATCTTGACTTCAAAAGGGTCATCGCTCATCTCCACAGAAAACATCTGCAACAGTTGAGTACAAAGTTAAACAATCATAACACACAAAGTTTTAAAAAAAATACAAGACAAGGTACTCGGTACTCACCATCTGCCAATTAATCACTGAGCCAACCCACCGTCCAGTGACCAATTACTCAAACAATGAACCATCCATAGAATAAAAAGTTAGCCAACACATCATCCACTGACTAATTGTTGAGCCAAACCACCTTCAACTGAATAATTATTAAGCCAACCCAGCATCTGCAGACTAACTACTGAGCCAACCAGTCATTCACTGATGAATTACTGAGCCAACCTATCATTCACTGAAAAATTACTGAGCCAACCTGTCATTCACTGACGAATTAATGAGCCAACCTGTCATTCACTGACAAATACTGAGCCAACCTGTCATCCACTGATGAATTACTGAGCCAACCTGTCATTCACTGACTAATTACTGAGCCAACCTGTCATTCACTGATGAATTACTGAGCCAATCCATCATTCACTGACTTAATTACTGAGCCAACTTGTCATTCACTGACGAATTACAGAGCCAACCTGTCATTCACTGACTAATTACTGAGCCAACCTGTCGTTCACTGATGAATTACAGAGCCAACCTGTAATTCACTGACTAATTAATGAGCCAACCTGTCATTCACTGACAAATTACTGAGCAAACCCATCATTCACTAATGAATTACTGAGCAAACCCATCATTCACTGACGAATTACTGAGCAAACCCGTCATTCACTGACAAATTACTGAGCCAACCCATCATTCACTGACGAATTACTGAGCCAACCTGTCATTCACTGACGAATTAATGAGCCAACCTGATATCCACTAACTAATCCCTGTGCTAACCAATCATAGCACCTGCATTAATTGAAAACAACTACCAAACTAAGCAACGACTCACCCGGAGTCTAATGGTGACATCTGGAGGCAGCGGACTGTCCACTGTGAATGGTTTCTTCTTCACCTTGTGCACGAGCTTCACCCATTTGACCACGTTCATCAGCTGTTTGAAGGGGTTATCACAAGGTCACATGAAAACACATGGAGGCAAATACAAGAGAAGGCGTGTATACTGATGGATGAATGAATGAATCAATCAATCAATCAATCAATCCTCTCTTCTTCTTTGTTCACCGACTGTAAGCTCCTGCGGAAGGTCCCAGCTGTTCGTCCATTTGGACAGTAACTGGCAGTTGACTCATTTAGGCCAGTATTCCCTTTCTAAAAGGCAATTTGTGAATTAATCAGATGAGGTTATTTTTTTAATAGTGTCCTAAGGCGTAGAATGATGACCTGTCCATGCCGGTCAATGATGACCTGTCCATGCTGGTCAATGATGACTTGTCTATGTCTGTCAATGATGACCTGTCCATGTTGGTCAATGATGTCCTGTCCGTGTCAGTCAATGATGACCTGTCTGTGTCTATCAATGATGACCTGTCTGTGTCTATCAATGATGACCTATCTGTGTCAGTCAATGATGACCTGTCCGTGCCAGTCAATGATGACCTGTCCGTGTCAGTCAATGATGACCTGTCCATGTCAGTCAATGATGACCTGTCCGTGTCAGTCAATGATCACCTGTCCATGTCAGTCAATGATGACCTGTCCATGTCAGTCAATGATGACCTGTCCGTGCCAGTCAATGATGACCTGTCCGTGTCAGTCAATGATGACCTGTCCATGTCAGTCAATGATGACCTGTCCGTGTCAGTCAATGATCACCTGTCCATGTCAGTCAACGATGACCTGTCGGTGTCGGTCAATGATGACCTGTCCGTGTCAGTCATGTGAGGATGGGCCCTGGGCTGTTCCCTTCTGATACTGGATAACCTATTGGTTTTTTTTCCCCCACAATACAGTGGTAACTTTGGTATATGTCCACTTTCTGATTAAGTTCAACTTGGTATACACCGTTTCTGTTTGGAATATGACCTGTGTGCTAGAACTTGTATGTAAAGTAAAGGACTCCTTTCCATGCCTTTAGGCTTACTGGGCATATAGGGCTAGACCTACATTTTATAGACAAAATCAGCATATAGCGGTTAAATATGGTCAAAATCACGCCGGTCGCCTTTACTTCCCAGGATTGTACCTGGTACCCATTTAAACCTGAGTTGACCTGGGAGCCAAGTCATTTCTGAAAATGTTCTGGCTCTGTCAGGACCTAAACATACAACCTTCTGATCTGCAGGCAAGTGTCTAGCTGCTACACCACGACGGCTATATGAACTTGCATGAGTCAAAATTAATTTTTAGTACGAGTCAAAACTTGTGAAACCTCAACCAGGTCCAAGCAGGGGAAAAAAGACAGAAAACAAGAAAGAAGAAAATAAAAAACACACTAGAATGTCAGATTCCTGAAGTTTTACTGGACAGGTTTTGGAAAACAGTTTTACGACTAATACTGGACCTTTCAAAGATGTAAACAAATGGAGAGGGAGAAGCAACAACAACATTCATAATCTGTTTAACCCCCCCCCCCCCCCGTGTGGGTTCCGGGGCCCCATTGTGGGGAAAACAAGAATAGACCCACTGCCTCCCCAAAAGCATGTCGTAAGAGTCGACTAATTGGGGAGCTTCCTTTGAAGTCGGAGTGCATCTGCCGGAGAGGCAAGGAACCAACAGTCTGTATTCAAGAGAATGAGATCTGTAAAACTGATGCACACGCAACACTCAGGTTCTGAAGCAGGACTGCAGTTCAGTAGTGGACGAGCAACCAGAACCTTCCGCCAGAGTTTACAGCTGGTGAACTTGAAGAAGAAGAAGAAGATAATCTGTTTAAATCACCACTGATCACTGGCATCATGAGAGCTAATAGACTGAAATGATTGGGGCATATTGAGAGAATGTCAGATGACAGAGAAGCGAAAACTGTATACACGAGGGAGATGAATGGTCGTAGACCACGAGGCAGACCAAGAAGATGATGAAGAGATAATGTCCAGACAGACCTGCAAACACTTGAACTAGAAAGAGAAGGCCAACCAGAGAGATTAGTGGAGGCGGGTGATATCTGCAGCAATAAACCTCAAGGGTTCGGAATGCTGAAGAAGGCCAACCAGAGAGATGAATGGAGGTGGGTGGTATCTGCAGCAAAAAACCTCAAGGGCTCAGAATGCTGAAGAAGAAGAAGAAGAGATTTCACTGGAAGGGGACTCCTTCCAAACAAAAACATTTCCTCCTTCCCCTTCTCAGTATCATTCTAGTAGGTTTTCAATTCTTCTCAGGAAGGCAAACAGAGGTTAAATTTTCATTTTGTCATTTAATAGCTTTTGTAGTGATGTATTTTAAATATTAAGCAGTGCTCAAATTATATTATACAACCCTATCAATGTATAGCTAGTGAATAACAATAGGATTTTTTTTATATGAACAGACTAATCCTTTTTGCCTTTATTTCTGTTTCATAATAAATCCTGTCTAGTAGCAGTGTAAGGATCTGGAACAGATTAAGGACATTTACCACAGTATCGGGGAGTCGCCACAGCAGAGCGGCTAGACGCGCGCCGCGGATCGGAAGGTCGTGGGTTCGCTCCCTGGTGGAGACGGACTTTTCTTCAAAAATTACCTTGGCTCCCAGGTCGACCCAGCCTTGAGTGGGTACCGGGTGCAATCCCGGGAAGTAGAGGCGGCCGGCGTGATGCTGACCACATCACCCATCTTGTGCCGTTGGTCTATAAAAATATAGGTCTAGCCCTATATGCCCTATACGCCTAAAGGCGTGGAAAGGGTCCTTTACTTTTTTTTACTTACTACAGTATCACTGTATTCACATACACTGATACCTTGGTAACAAAGGAAAAAACAATACACCCGTCCATTGTCATTACCAGAAATCAGAACACTTATCAAAGGAAAATGCAAGGGATTGTGGAGAGAACAAACTAACAGTAAACATCCACAAGACTCCGTCAGCAGACTTTTTAGAAAGCAACATACAACAATTTTCCATCTACAAACAGGATACTGCAGTCTAAACCACCACATGCATAAAATAAAGATTGTCATGTCCCCACAGTGTGCCTGTCAGACAGGACCACAAACACCTGAGCACATTCTGCCGACCTGCCCACTTTACCTACAACTTGGAAAAGACACCTCACCTCTAGAGCAAAGTGTGCAGAGCAAGCTATGGGAAACCATGAAAGACCTGCTACTGACATGCGAGTTCATAGAGGCAACCCACCTGATGGTCTGATCTGAGCATACGGAATCCAGCGCAAAGGAGAAGATACCTTGGTATATATCTTTTCTTTGTCTTCTTTTTCATGTTCTCCCCCTTTTTTTTTTTGCAAACTTACCTCCAGTTTTATTTCTTGAAATGTTAGTTCTTTGACACAGCTATATTTCTGGCTACTCCCGATTGTTTGTTTTTTCTTTTCTATATTATGAGCAACAATCAAGACCTAAAATAAACATGTTTCCGTTCTTACTCAGACACTATAAGTGAACACCTTACCTCTTCATAACAGGAAGCAAAGTTATACTGGCACGGGAAAACAATGTCCACACTGTGGCAGGAGATACCCCTGAAACAGACAAATGTATTATCACTGTGAACTACAACAGTGATACAAGTGGGAGAATAACATCAAGTATGTGCTAGTACTCTATAAACCTGACATAAGTATGTGCTAGTACTCTATAAATCTAACACAAGTATGTGCTAGAACTCTATAAACCTGACATAAGTATGTGCTAGTACTCTATAAAACTGACACAAGTATGTGCTAGTACTCTATAAACCTAACACAAGTATGTGCTAGTACTACAAAACTGACACAAGTATGTGCTAGGCTAGTACTTTATGAACCTGATACAAGTTTGTGCTAGTACTCTAAAAAACTGACACAGGTATGTGCTAGTACTCTATAAAATTGACACTAACATGTGCTACCACTCTATGAACCTGACACAAGTATGTGTTAGTACTCTATAAATTTGACACAAGTATGTGCTAGTACTCTATAAACCTGACACTCGTATGTGGTAGTACTCTATAAACCTGACACAAGTATGTGCTAGTACTATAAAACTGACACAAGTATGTGCTAGCACTCTATAAACCTGGCACAAGTATGTGCTAGTACTATAAAACTGATACAGGTATGTGCTAGTACTCTATAAACCTGACAAACATATGTACTAGTACTCAATTTTTTTTTTCTTTTAGTATCCAGAAGTCAAGAGTTGTTAACCCTTAGGCTCGGTATTATGGATATCGCAACCCTTCGGCCTTGATTCCATAATAAATACCGTAAATCTTGGAGAAATGTGGCTTTTCTGCCTACCCCCCAGGCATGAACCCGGATCACAAGGAGTTTGTCACCCGGTCCACACGGAATCCGGTTTAGCCAACTACGCTAGCAAGCCGGGCACTAGTACTCTATAAACCAGGTACACATATATGAACACCTACCAGGCTCTGTTGGTGGCATCCTGCAAGCTTTTGGCCCGTTCCCGTTCTGCCTTCAGGTGGGAGGTGGGCAAAGTCTCTACCTGCAGACCCTGTACAGGTAAATACAAATCTGCCATCAGCCATTGCAACAATCTCACACAACAGAATGTAACGAAAGAATAGACAATAAGCCATAGGAGATATAATGGCACAAAAGGATGATGCTGCTGAATGAATTATTGTTTGATATAATTATTAATATAGAGGTTTGGGAGAGTACAAAACAAATTCCTGTGAAATAAGTGATGAGGGAAAGATGCTGATTTGGATTAGAGCACATGCTAAGAAAACTTGATCATAATTTAACTAGAATGTCTTTGCACTGGAACTCACAAAGCCAAAGGTATAAAGGTAAACACAAAAAAGACACATATGCAGAAAGGAACTAGAGAATGAGGTTAAAAAGATGGGGAAGACAAAGAGATGTATACAACAGCAAAGGATAGAACAAACTGGCTTGAGTTGGCTGATGGCTGATAGAGGAAGTAAGGGCAGAAAATTATTACCCAACTAAAACCAGAACTTTTTGTTGCAGTTTACAGCTGGTGAAGAAGAAGAAGAAGAAGAAGAAGAAGAAGAAGAAGAAGAAGAAGAAGAAGAAGAGAGAAGGAGGAGGAGAAGAAGAAAAAGAAGATGAGGAGGAGGAGGAGGAGGAGGAGAAGAAGAAGAAGAAGAAAACGAAGAAGAAGAAGAAGAAGAAGAAAAAGAAGAAGAAGAAGAAGAAGAAGAAGAAGAAGAAGAAGAAGAAGAAGAAGAAGAAGAAGAAGAAGAAGAAGAGGAGGGAGGAGGAGGAGAAGAAGAAGAAGAGAAAAGGGAGGAGGAGAAGAAGAAGAAGAAGACAGGAGGAGGAGAAGATGAAGAAAAAGACACTTACCACGACGGTGAAGATGTTGTGTCCGTCACATCGGATACTTAGATCCTTGATCTCCATGAGAATATCCGGCAAAGTCATAGTCAGCAACAGATTCTGTGTGTGCAGGGAAACCCTGAGGAAAACAAGAGCATCATGACAGACACATGTCTGCACTTTTTCAGTGAAAGTATACATAGCAAATGTGCCTCATGGCACAATTTTCTTACTGAGCCACAGCTCGTCTGTGAGCTGCAGCTTATCTGTGAAGCTAGAGGTTACCTGTGGGACCTGCAGCTTACCTGTGAGAGCTTACCTCGGACGTTTAATCAGAATACTACTGGCACCATTAGTATCGAAACTCTTCACTGGCTGTTGAAGATGGGGGACAGAGCGCTTATGGGAATGCCCCGACTGCTGTGATGTAGGTTCTTGAATCAAATCAACTCAACTGAAGGTTACCTGTAATCTCAAGCTTATCTGTGAACTGAAGCTTACCTGTGAGCGAGAGCTTGCCTGTGAGTCAGAGCTTGCCTGTGAGTCAGAGCTTACCTGTAAGTCAAAGCTTGCCTGTAAGCAATAGCTTGCCTGTGAGTCAGAGCTTACCTGTATGTCAGAGCTTGCCTATAAGTTAGAGCTTGCCTGTAAGTGAGAGCTTTCCTGTTAGTCAGAGCTTACTTGTGACCTGAAGCTTACCTGTGAGCCACAACATACCTGTGAGCCACAGCTTGCCTGTAAGTCAGAGTTTACCTGTGAGTCAGAACTTACCTGTGAGCTAGAGCTTGCCTGAGAGTCAGAGCTTATATGTAAGTCAGAGCTTACCTTTAAACCAGAGGTGACCTGACAGCCACAGCTTACCCGTGAACCAGAGATTAAACAGTGAGTTAAAAATTACCTGTGAGCTAGACCTTACCTGTGAGCTAGACGTTACATGTGAGCTACACGTTACCTGTGAGCCAGCGGTTACCTGTGAGCCAGAAGCTACCAGTGAGTAAGAAGTTACCTGTGAGCCAGAGGTTACCAGTGAGTCAGAGGTTACCTGTGAGCCAGAGGTTACCTGTGAGCCAGAGGTTACCTGTGAGCTAGACCTTACCTGTGAGTCTGTGAAAGCTTCATCTCCAGGCTGATATCAGCAAGCACCAGGATGTTGATGGACACGACCGGCTGCTGGGGGCGAGCTGGGGTCACTGGAATGTTTGGGGTCACTGGCTCTGGGGAAAAGAACATCACCACTATCATGCGCTGTCTCCATACTGTAGCGAGTCTCCTGGGTTATGTGTTCCTACAGCTTCTTACGCTGACTTTGGCTCAGAAGTCGATCCAATCTAAAGTGAGTATCAGGTAATGTCCAGGGAATTAAAAGGGGTCAACTGAATGCTTACCACATACCCACTTTGTAAAGTATAGTGTCCTTTCCCACATCTATAGGCGTACTGGGCATTTAGTGATAGATCTATATTTTTACAGACTAATCGGCACTAGGTGGGTGATGTGGTAAGTATCATGCCAGCCACCTTTACTTCCCAGGACTTTACCTGCTACCCGTTAAAGGCTGGGTCAAACTAGGAGCCATGGTCATTTACAGAACGACAAAAGTATGCAGATTTGAACCCATGACCTACTGATCTGTTGGTGACCGTCTAGCCAGTACTTCACGGCAGCTTCCCATATCATAACTGCCTCAAAGATGACCATTCATGTGGATGGTACTTGGTAACTTTCTCATGGACTCACTGGCAAGTGCCTAGCCGCTACACCACAGAGGCTTCCCGTATCATAACTGCCTCTAAAGATTATGGTCCATGTGGATGGTACTTGGCACCTTTCTTATGGACTTGTTGGCGAGTGTCTAGCTACTACACCACTGCAGCTTCCCATACAATAACTGCCTCAAAAGATTATCATCCATGTGGATGGTACTCGGCACCTTCCCGTCTTTCTAGACAATAGTGTTGTACTGCGCTACAGGAAAGTATAGGACTCATAGCCCATGGCAGTGGCGAGTGTGACTAGCAAGACCCAATCACCTTTAAGAAGCATCTTCAACAATTCATCATCATGTAGCAGGTCCTTTGCAGCAGGTTGCTCTCATCACAGTCTGCCTGAAAGAAACTCAGTCTCTAGCCAGCTCTCCCACCTCATGCACTTTTATATCCAAGGAAGCTCTTTTATATTTTGCCCATCTTCGTATTAGTAGGCCCCTTCTTCTCCTTCCTGTATCATGCCTTCTGCTATTATGTTTTTCTAATCCACCGCGGCGCTTGATATGGGCAAAATATTTCAGCTTGCGAGACAAGATGCTATTTATCAGCCAATCTGCCTTGATGTTCAGATCTTTTAGAATGTATTTCTTTTCTGCTTTGTTCGTGGTATTCTAAGAATCTTTCTTCAGCATTCCTACACAGTTAGAGATCGGAATGTCAAGATCACTGTTGCTATCACATGTAATTTAATGTGCTTCCTCACAAATGCTCAACTCTGGACTTATCTAAGTCTCTCCTTGATCCACATTTCCTTCCTGATTTCCCCACTCTATGTAATATGGTTGATAACATCCTGATCCAACAAATTCGTGTGAGTGGAAGACATTCAAGAACTGGAGAGGGAAAAGGATTTTGCAAAACTCAGGTTATGAAACAAGATTCAAGCCCAAAATTGGATGAAAAAGCAGAACTTTCTACCAGAATTTACAGGGTGGGAACTCAAATACGAAGAGGAGGGGGAAAGAAAAAGAAGAAACAGACAACACAAGAAAGACAGACAACACAAGAAAGATAAACTACACAGAACAGACAACAAAGACAGACAACATAAGAAAGACAAACCAAACAGGATAGACAACATGAAAAAGACAGACAACACCAGAAAGACAGACTACACCAGAGCCAAAGTTGAGTCTTACCACTCTCCAAGCCAGCCAGTTTGGTGTGCAGCGCCGCAGCATCCTGCAACCCTTCGACCAGACACATGTGGACTTCCATGGTCCAGTGGACGATGAAATGCTGCAGGATGTGAACTCGACACTCCTGTGTCCCGTGTGATGTAGGTATAAAACTAAAGATTAGTGAAACTGTTGCATCTAAATACAGTGATACCAACATATACGTCCGCTTTCTTCTTCTTTTTTATATTCACCGGCTGTGTCACTCTTATAGAAAGTTCTGGCTGTTCACAAACTTCTGGACTTTAGGCTCCAGAACTTGAGTTTTGTGTGCACATCCATTTTACAAATGTGGCCTGTTTTTATGCAGACTGTTGGTCCCTTACCTCTAAGGCATGCTTGTTAGGGAGGCAGTGAGTCCACTTTCTAATAACTCCAAGTTGTTATATGTCCTGTTATGAGAAATAAAACTTTGCTTGGTTCGTAACTTTTTTGGGGAGGATATGACTCATGTGCCAGAGCTTGTGAGCCTCAATACAATGATTCTTTCAGGCTCTCATCGCATGCAACCTTCTTAGGCACACTGACAGATAGTTCGACGTCATCTTGAACATGAAACAAGGAATGCTGGAAACACCACACAGCTAATCAGATACAAAATGCTTACAGAGAAGTAAGAACCAGGACTTCTACTTCCTCTTCACGTTCACCAGCTGTAAGCTCTGGTGGAAAGTCCTGGTTGGTTGTCCACTTGTGTACTTTGGTCTTCTTCCAGAACTTGAGTTTTGCATGAATATTCGTTTTCAATCTGGCGTATCTGCAGGCACACAGGCTGGTTCCTTGCCTCTCTGGCAGAGAGTAAACCTAATTAGTCGCTTTTTATGACAGGCTTGTGTAGGGGGAAGGGGAGCAGTGGGTTTTTCCCTCTCGACCCAAAAACAAAATGGGGCGCTGGAACCCACAGGGCAGGAATCATGACTGATAATTGACTGACTAACTGGAAGACGAGCTTACCTGTTGTAAAGGACTGGATTTGACTTTCACCTGATGAACATGCACCACAGGATTGTGGATCTCACTGGAGCGGCTCAAGGGCAGGTACTGAAAACGAGACATGGTCTAGGCGGGTCAGTCTCTATCAGATACCAAGTTCAGTAACATTTTATACATATGATCAAGGCACATGCATCACCAAATGTATCAGCAAACAGGCACTTGAATGGGAAACTAATGGGCTGAGGTCTAGGCGGGTCAGTCTCAATCAGATACCAAGTTTAGTAACATTTTTTCACAAGCTATTAAAGCACATGTATCACAAAATGTATCAATCAAACAGGCACTTATATGGGAAACAAACAGACTGAGGAGGTGAGGATGCCAAAGAGAAACTTTAAGATTAATGCTGATATGAGAGGCCAAAGGTGCTAGACAGGAATCAATCCTTTACACTTCTTCTTCTTCTTCTTCTTCGTTCACTGGCTGTGAATTCCGGCGGGAGGTCCCGGTTATTCGTACGCTTGGACTTTTGGCTTTTACCTGGACCTGAGTTTTGCGTGTACAACCGTTTTGCTGTTCCCTGCCTCGCGGGCAGATGTACTCCGACTTCGAGGGAAGACGTCAGGCCTATTTCTAGGATGACTGTGGCCATTTTTTTGTGTGGGTCGAGACGTTGCCTGATTTGTGTGGTGTCCTCTATGTCTCCTTCTCCGCAGGTGTTGCCCCCGGAGTACCCCTTTGGGGCAGCCCCTTGTGGAACGGTTAGCCCTCAAGGGAAGGCAGGGGCAGATCATGGGCATTCCCCGCCATCCAAGGAGGCTTCCATGTATGCAGAGCCGGCACATGGCGCTCTGGTTCTGGGCTCACCCAAGGATTCGTCACGTCCTGCACATGCCTGCTTAACCTTCGGAGATCAGCGGGGAGCAGCCCGTGGGTTCTGGACTTTTGTGACCACACGAATAGGTACATTCTTTTTCTTCGCACGTTAGATATCTTTGACGAGCCGTTAGTACGACAGAATTTAACATCCTGCGTCAGGCATATCGTTATCTGTTTGGTCCCAACACTCGGGCGAGTGAGGTCTTTGGGTGTGGAAATTTTGGACTTTTTCCATTCAATATGATTTGTGATGGTCGGATTTTGAGCTTACTCGTGTGCCGTAGGATCTAGTTTTGTCGGACATTTAGGCTTAGCCAGCCAATGGGCTGTTGCTGTTGTGGTGTACCTCAGCGCGGTGACGACGACACTGAGGGTTAACAGAGGATGTACATGGGTAGAATCTTGCTACGAGACAATACCCCTAGGAGATGCTACTCGTCTGTGCTGCGGGTAAATCTCTAGGTCAAGGGTTGAGTCTCAGCAGAACAATGTTCTCTTCACTCCCCAATCTTTTAACCAAGGGTTGTAATTTTAGTTGTACATTTGGCAAGCACTTTACTCATGTTCCTAATGAGTTTTGATAACCTTTTTCACCTATGCGTTTGGGGGCGGGCTGATGAGAGCCACAAGGACACTACACCTCTGGGGGCCGCCAACTCCAAGATCCCCTGACAGCTCTGTTAATGCTCATTTGAGACATTATCCGTGGCGCACGACAAGGACGCGCTGCAGGGGTCTTGCGTGAGGTTCCGTAAAACCAGAACAGTGAAGGACTGGCGCCCGAGTGACGTATCTCCTTATACACATCATGTTGGACTTAACTTTCCCTCACGCCTGTGACCTAAATCACCGCGCCACCTTTACACTGAAACAACAGCACCAAATAAAACGGAATGGAAGAATAATCTGTGAGCCCCATGTGAAGCACAACAGAATCAAGAGGATGATGATGATGAAGAAGACACAGCTGACATAAGAATTTTACAGTCTATACTTTCATCAACTGCAGAGTGCATGAGGAATCAGTTTCATGCTTCCATTTCCACCTTTCCAATATGGCAGAGCGGCAGACATTCCATCAGAAGTGACTCCCAGTACATATAACACACGTAAGCTCTTAACGCCCAGTACATATAACATACTCTCACACATGTAATCCCTTACCGCCCAGTACATATAACATACTCTCACACATGTACTCCCTTACCGCCCAGTACATATAACATACTCTCACACATGTACTCCCTTAACGCCCAGTACATATAACATACTCGCACACATGTACTCCCTTACCGCTCAGTACATTTAACATACTCTCACACATGTACTGATATACACCTCCCAGTGAATCTGACATACTTTCACATATGTACTGTTATCCCCGTACTCACCCCAGTACATTTAACATATTCTCACATATGTAGTTCCACCTACTTCCCAGTACATTCAACATACTCTGACACATGTAATTCCACCTACCTCCCAGAATATTTAACATACTTTCACAAATGTAGCTCCACCCACCTCACAGAATATTTAACATACTTTCATACATGTAGCTCCACCTACCTCCCAGTACATTTAACATACTCTCACACATGTAGCTCCACCTACCTCCCAGTACATTTAACATACTCTCACACATGTAGATCCACCTACCTCCCAGTACATTTAACATACTCTCACACATGTAGATCCACCTACCTCCCAGTTCATTTAACGTACTCTCACACATGTAGTTCCACCTATCTCCTAAAATATTTAACATACTCTCACACATGTAGATCCACCTACCTCCCAGTACATTTAACATACTCTCACACATGTAGTTCCACCTACCTCCCAGTACATTTAACATACTCTCACACATGTAGTTCCACCTACCTCCCAGTTCATTTAACGTACTTTCACACATGAGTTCCACCTACCTCCCAGTTCATTTAACGTACTTTCACACATGAGTTCCACCTACTTCCCAAAATATTTAACATTCACAAATGCAGCTGCACCTACCTCGAAGAATATTTAACATACTCTCACACATGTAGCTGCACCTACCTCACAGTACATTTAACGTACTCTCACACATGTAGCTGCACCTACCTCACAGTACATTTAACGTACTCTCACACATGTAGTTCCACCTACCTCACAGTACATTTAACGTACTCTCACACATGTAGTTCCACCTACCTCCCAGTACATTTAACGTACTCTCACACATGTAATTCCACCTACCTCCCAGTACATTTAACGTACTCTCACACACGTAGTTCCACCTACCTCCCAGTACATTTAACGTACTCTCACTCACGTAGTTCCACCTACCTCCCAGAATATTTATCATTCACACATGCCGCTCTGCCTACCTCCCAGATTATTTAACATCCACACATGCAGCTCTACCTACCTCCCAGAATATTTATCATTCACACATGCCGCTCTGCCTACCTCCCAGATTATTTAACATTCACACATGTCTACCTACCTACCAGAATATTTAACATTCACACATACAGCTCTACCTACTTCCCAGAATTTTTAACATACTCTCACACATGCAGCTCCACCTACCTCCTTGTCACAAACAATATATTGCACTTTGGTGCCATCCACAGAGAGAGACGACTGTGTGTGGCTCATGTGGAAGGTCACAGTGTCCACCCGCAGCATGACAGAAACTGAAAGTACAGACATCAGACTGTTACACAAATACAGACAGTAAAAGTCAGACCTTGCTATACAGACGATGAAAGTGCAGACACAGACTTTCTTAAACAAACACGGATATTGAAAGTTCAGACACAGATATCTGACTTTCTTACACAAACACAGACAATGAAGGTGCAAATTCAGACTTTGTTACACAGACAATGAAAGTGCCAACATAGACATCAGACATTATTGCAAACAGAGAGGTATACAATGAAGGTGCAGACACATACATCAGAATTTGTTAAACACACAGCAACAAGACACTGAAAGTGCAAACAAAGACAACAGATGTTGTTACACACAGAAAAACAGACACTGAAAGTGCAGGCAGAACATTTGTTAAACATAGAGAGGCAAACACTGAAAGTGCAGACACATATATGTCACATACAGAAAGACAAACATTGAAAGTGAAGATAAAAACATCATCCTTTGTTTTACACTAGCAGTCAGGCAGACAGACAGTTAGACCAGACAGAAAGACCAGACAGACAGACAGATGGACAGACAGTGAGACGGATGGATAGACAGATACTGAAAGTGAAGCTATAGACATGAGACTTTGTTACACACAGAGAGACAGATGCTGACATTGAAAGTGTAGCCACAGACATCAGATTTTGTGACACTCCCATAAACAGATAACTACATGTAACAATTACCTCCAATGGCATTTGTGACAAACAGATTAATACTGGAGACATCGAACTTCAGGAAGTGAATCAACGGCTTCTTGACTGGTGCCTTTGAATTCGTCTGTTCAAGATCAGGCCGTCTGTCCTCTGCCAAGCTGTTCTGGGGTCCCTGCAGTAGGGGCCTGGTTTTTCTGAATGCCCCGAGGAGTTGGCTAAGAGCATTGTAGAGCCCTGTTGACCACTCCAGATGTAAGTTGTCTGTCATACCTTCCACTTTCAACTCTGCATTAATCTTTTTCACCTGAAAATATTCACAGCAGCCATGATTAGTTACTTGTATGTCCTTTAAAGCAGCCTTCTTCACAACACCCAGCCCAAAAAAACATGGGAAACTTTGCTAAAACAGTCTTTAAATCTTGTTCTTCCTCTTTCATTCGCTTGAAATAGATTATCTATATCTGCAGTGTTGTCTCTAGTATGAACTTCACTGTCTTTTGTAATTCACTCAGCGGCCCGTAAAGTTTGACTTGCACCGATGTTTCTCTTGGCCAAAAGTTTATCCTTGATACGTTGTATTTGGGACAGTCTTGGAGGACATGATCTGTTGTTTAGGTGCAGTCTTTAAATTAGTTACAATAGTCACTGCTATAGTCTAACGTAGTTTTGGGGAAGCTGGAAAATAACAATAAAATATTCATTATAAAAGGCGTTGGAAATGTCCACTAGGGACTTCAAGACATAACTGTACAAGTTTCTTCATATTGTCAAATACCTTCTGCAATGTGTCAGTAGGCCTACCAGATGATGGAGCATCTTTCACATTTCCCGTAGCAAGAGATTTATTAAACAAATTTCTAGCCGTAATGCGATCAGATGGTTGTTCATTAGGCTATCTTCTTCTTCTTTTTTCTTTGCGTTCACTAGCTGTAAACTCTGGTGGAAAGTTCTGGTTGTTCGTCCACATCTGATTTGCAGTCCTGTTCCAGAACCTGAGTGTTGCGTGTGCATCCGTTTGACAGATCTGACACATCTGTGTGCAGACTGTTGGTTCCTTGCCTCTCAGGTAGATGCACTTCAACTTCGAAGGAAGCTCCCAATTAGTCCACTCTTACGACATGCTTTTGGGTAGACAGTGGGTCTATTCTTGTTTTCCCTATAACAGGGCCCCGGAACCCACACGGGGGATTTTTGCTATAAATATTTGAAATCTTCCGTGTGTGTTGACTGCCATTTCACAACACTTTTTTAACCCCCCCCCCCCCCCCCCCCCCCCCCCCTCCCAAATTAAAAATTATTTCTTTTCTTGATAACACCATTATATTCTGAGTTGAGCTGATACGAGAACCAACATCGTTGCACTCAAGGCATTCCCATAAGTGCTCCTTCCCCCATCTTCAGCAGCCAGCACAGAGTTTCAATACAAATGGTGTCAGTAGCATTCTGATCAAAGTCTGTCTTGCCTTTCCTCTGAGCGTCGAGCAGTGGCAAGAAACCCTCGCTACTTTCTGCTGCATTACTCTCACCAGACTGTGGTGATCCATTTGCTCCTCTGAATTGTACACGCTCTCCCACAAGGCACTAACCACATCTGTCTTATCATGAAACAATATTTCACCAGGTTGTGCAGAGCCAGCCAGTTCGTCCACCTGTTCATTTCCCAACACACTGGCATACCCCGGAGAAAAAATCAGCACAATACTCCCCACCCGTGTCCTCTGCAGTGAAGCATGCTTGTCCTCACCTTCCTCAGCATGCTTTCTGAGTCAATTACAATCATGATGTGTGTGTCATGTTCTCAAACCAGCTGAAAGCTACAGTGACCGCCTGCACCTCCATTCTCAAGCTAGATGTTGTGGTATCGTATGCTAGGCTCTCCTGCACCAAATGTTGACCATTAAATGTTGCTAAGAAACCTGAAGCACTTCTTTTGCCTCTTGACATTAAACCGTCTGTTTAAATAACTACATCCTCTGACCGAGCATTATCTTGAATTAATTGCCGAATTTCCGCCTCCGTGGCACTTGCTGGCATATCTCTACACTCCTGGCTCAATGTGATTATGACTCTACACAAATCTGACTGTTCCGCTGGCACTCTGACCCACTCCTCTCCTCACCTAATGTTCTTCAGGATGCAGAGCTGTCTGACTACATCTTTTGCCTGCGCCATCTATGGCTTCCCTCTTATCTTATCCGATGACTCTTAACTCTGTCCAGAGCTTCGTGCAAAGGGTGATATGTATCTGCAGCTACTCTGAGATATGACATCTCCTGCAGCACCTTCAGCCTACCTGCAACACACGGCAAACCAAGGATGTATCGCAAACACACCACTGGGGTGTTTCAGGTACAAATCTGACTCTTTGGGACAGTAAGCAGTCCTAGTCCATAATCAGTCACTGAAAGGAACAGGTGCTGATGAAGTGTGAAAAGCATTCTCTGCTCTGTCCATTGCAGCCATAGTCTTGAGTGCATTGAGTCCTTGAAGGACAGGCTCCTGTCAAATGTTATCTAAATATGTTATATAATTATACATATATTACTCCAGCAGACAACCATCATTCACTGCGTACTGCTTTATAATTGACTGTGGAGCTCATTTTGTTTGTGTGGTTCTGTTGTCATGTTCTTCATTTTCCAAATTTGTTCTACATTAAAGTGCAGTGAAGCTTTACAAACACCCTGTAGAATTCAACACATTTTCCTGTCCCACCTACCTTCAGGAAGAGAAGTCCCAGGTACAGCACCTGACCCCAGTAGTGATTCTTTACGGACATCTGATCCAGGGCTACCCGGCTGTCCATGAGACAACAGGACACACTCTGGATGTCCACCTCGCAGGAGAAGTTGTAGTTGTTGAACCAGTCATGGTTCTCCATCACTGTGGGAAACATGTAAGGCTTCAAGTGAAAGTTTGTAAAGTATGACAGACATTACAATAACCATGATAATGTATTTTCTAACCTGTCAATACTGTTGTTAAGAATGTCAAGAGTGTTAAGCATGTGACATTATGGTGCAGACAAACATAGTACAGTAAAGGACCCTTTTTCTAAGCCTTCAGGTAGATTAGACAGATTATACTTATTTTTTTATAAGCAAATCACTTTGCGGGTAATGTGGTCAGTATCATGGTGGCCGTCTTTACTTCCCAAGACTTTATCTGCTTATCATATAAGGTTGGGTTGACCTAGGATCCAAAGTCATTTCTGTAAAAAGTCCACCACCCTTTGAATCTGAACCCATGACCTTCGGATCCGTGTGCGGGTGTCTAGCCGCTAAACCACCACGGCTTTCCGTACATGAACACGATGATCTCATAATGACAGTCTCAAGATGGCCATCCCATTTTTGACATGCACCAAAGAGGAGCAGAACAATTTCTTTCACAGACATAACACATCTCCACAGACATAACACGTCTCCACAGACATAACAAATCTCCACAAATATAAAACATCTCCACAGACATAAATCTCCACAGACATAACAAATCTCCACAAATATAACACATCTCCACAGACATAAATCTCCACAGACATAACAAATCTCCACAAATATAACACATTTCCACAGACATAAATCTCCACAGACATAACAAATCTCCACAAATATAACACATCTCCACAGACATAAATCTCCACAAATATAACACATCTCCACAGACATAACAAATCTCCACAAATATAACACATCTCCACAGACATAAATCTCCACAAATATAACACATCTCCACAGACATAAATCTCCACAAATATAACACATCTCCACAGACATAACAAATCTCCACAAATATAACACATCTCCACAGACATAAATCTCTACAAATATAACACATCTCCACAGACATAACACATCTCCACAGACATAAATCTCCACAAATATAACACATCTCCACAGACATAACACATCTCCACAGACATAAATCTCCACAAATATAACACATCTCCACAGACATAACACATCTTCACAGACATAAATCTCCACAAATATAACACATCTCCACATACATAACACATCTCCACAGACATAACACATCTCCACAGACATAACACATCTCCACAAACATAACACATCTCTACAGACATAACACATCTCCACAAACATAACACATCTCTACAGACATAACACATCTCTACAGACATAACACATCTCCACAAACATAACACATCACTACAGACATAACACATCTCCACAGAAATAACACATCTCTACAGACATAACACATCTCCACAAACATAACACATCTCTACAGGCATAGCACATCTCCACAAACATAACACATCTCCACAAACATAACACATCTTCACAAACATAACACATCTCCACAAACATAACACATCTCCACAAACATAACACATCTCCACAAACATAACACATCTCCACAAACATAACACATCTCTACAGACATAACACATCTCCACAAACATAACACATCTCTACAGACATAACACATCTCTACAGACATAACACACCTCCACAAACATAACACATCACTACAGACATAACACATCTCCACAGACATAACACATCTCTACAGACATAACACATCTCCACAAACATAACACATCACTACAGACATAACACATCACGACAGACATAACACATCTCCACAGACATAACACATCTCTACAGACATAACACATCTCCACAGACATAACACATCTCCACAAACATAACACATCTCTACAGACATAACACATCTCCACAAACATAACACATCTCTACAGACATAACACATCTCCTCAAACATAACACATCTCCACAAACATAACACATCTCCACAGACATAACAATTCTTCACAGACATAACACATCTCCACAGACATAACAAATCTTCACAGACATAACAAATCTCCACAGAATTAACAAATCATCACAGACATAACAAATCATCACAGACAACAAATCTCCACAAACATAACACATCTCCACAGACATAACACATCTCCACAGACATAACACATCTCCACAGACATAACACATCTCCACAGACATAACACATCTCCACAGACATAACAAATCATCACAGACATAACACATCTCCACAGACATAACACATCTCCACAGACATAACACATCTCCACAGACATAACACATCTCCACAGACATAACACATCTCCACAGACATAACACATCTCCACAGACATAACACATCTCCACAGACATAACAATTCTTCACAGACATAACACATCTCCACAGACATAACAAATCTTCACAGACATAACAAATCTCCACAGAATTAACAAATAATCACAGATATAACAAATCTTCACAGACATAACACATCTCTACAGACATAACACATCTCCACAGACATAACAAATCTTCACAGACATAACACATCTCCACAGACATAACAAATCTTCACAGACATAACACATCTCCATAGACATAACACATCTCCACAAACATAACAAATCATCATAGACATAACACATCTCCACAGACATAACACATCTCCACAGACATAACACATCTCCACAAACATAACAAATCATCATAGACATAACACATCTCCACAGACATAACAAATCTTCACAGACATAAGACATCTCCACAAACATAGACATAACATGTCTTCACAGAAAAGAAGAAAACTAACGACTACAGACTCCCACCTGCTCCACCAGGTTTGAGGCTGGCGTTAAACCTGGCATGTGTCAGCTGGCCATGCAAGCCACTGCAGACGGCAGAGGAAACTGTTGATGACATGTCAGCTACTTCCAGCACGGATGAGAAACTTTTACCGTCAATCCATGAGAGAAGGACTGGGCTGGGGACAGGAGATGAGGAGAAAAAGAAGACATCATTTATTTTCTTTGTTATTCAATCCTGGGTGGAGCTGAGTTGGGTTGAGTCAAGAATTTACATCACAGCACTTGCAACATTCTAATGCATACTCTGTCCTTATCTTCAGCAGCCAGTGCAGAGTTCCAATACTGATGGTACCGGTCACCCTCATTCTCTCCAGGCCATAATAATCTTGTTTCTCTACTGATTCCGTTGCTTGTTCCCAAAGGGCCTTGACCTTGCAGAGGTATCTTACAATCTTGTTTAGTCTTCCCTCCTCTACCCTGGGATATAGAGATACCTTACAATCTTGTTTAGTCTTCCCTCCTCTACTTTGAGATGCAGAGGTACCTTACAATCTTGTTTAGTTTTCCCTCCTCTACCCTGAGATGTAGAGGTACCTTACAATCTTATTTAGTCTTCCCTCCTCTACCCTGAGATGTAGAGGTACCTTACAGTCTTGTTTAGTCTTCCCTCCTCTACCCTGAGATGTAGAGGTACCTTACAATCTTGTTTAGTCTTCCCTCCTCTACCCTGGGATATAGAGATACCTTACAATCTTGTTTAGTCTTCCCTCCTCTACCCTGAGATGTAGAGGTACCTTACAGTCTTGTTTAGTCTTCCCTCCTCTACCCTGAGATGTAGAGGTACCTTACAGTCTTGTTTAGTCTTCCCTCCTCTACCCTGAGATGTAGAGGTACCTTACAATCTTGTTTAGTCTTTCCTCTTCTACCCTGGGAAGCAGAGGCACCTTACAGACTTGTTTAGTCTGTCCTCTTCTAAGTTGCTCTGCCAACCAAAAACACACAGAATGTCCATCACTGTCCCTTGTGGCAAAATTCAGCATACCCACTAGCATAAACACGCATTAAAAGCCTAAGGCAGCCAGCAGAAGTGCTAACACAAACAGTCCGACACTATAAATGCAGTTTATTATCGACAGAAGCAGCATTTACAAACACATCAGTAGCTGCACACGAGATTAATTTTAACCACATAAGGCACCAAAACTTCTGTGGCATCAGATCACTCGCCACTTTTCAGAATTTACAGTTCACAACACCACATTCTAAATGGACTCTGCAGCTCACAGTGTTGCGCTATGCACTCAAACCAGTAGCTGTCAGTGTTTAAGCTCTCTTGTTTCTACCCAGGAAACTGAACATCTGGTTTAACCTTTAGCACCCCACAATAAAAATCGAACTGGCTCAGAAAAATTGATCACACAAACCTACTCTCGGCCTCCTAGCAATTAAAACAGACAAAGAGGAAGTGAAACCACTCTAGAATAGTTAATTATAGTTTTCAAGTGACGTCACACGCGTAGCTCCGTTTAGGCTTCGTATTCCCCAACCATATATAGATGTTGAGTATACTCGACTGTGGGACGCTACGAGGTGGGCGGCTGAAGTCCAATATACTCGACTGTGGGGTGCTAAAGGTTAAGAGTTTAACAGTTACATGTAGACTTGAAGACAGATAAAAATGGAACACCATGTTAACAATGGCATGGCTCGTCCATGGCCCAATATTTTCAGGGCATAGTATGAAAATTCAACAAAATATCAATTACATGTCATTTTGCAAACAAAATATCATTGACATGTCATTTTGCTAGCACAGACATTAACAAACACAACTGACCTAGGAACCGACTTCCTCCACCTGAGAGGTGCCGCGGTGTGTGGAGGCGGAGGCTGCGGCCGGTGGAATATGTTGGAGAACACCGAGAGCCAGTACTGCACCTCCTCGTGGTGGTAGTGGAAGAAACCAGAGTTGACCATGAGGAAGGTGTCCAGGGAGTCTCTCAACAGCTGGAGGCAAGAGAACATGGTGTATCAGTATAGGGTTCTATTCCAATAATTTCCCCCAAACAGTTGACAATTTTAGGGGTGGCAGATAGGCTGCATGCAGTCGTGGGATCTAGGCTGCATGCAGTAGTGAGACCTAGGTGGGTTAGAGTTAGGCCCAGTTTTAGATGTTTTGGCATGAGAAAGCTGGGAAACCAAATCTTACCACCCTGAAAAATATTGGACTGTCCTGCGACGTCATCCTTGGGGAAGATATGAGGAACACACCCTGTATAGCTACCATCAGCGCTTTTTTTCTGCCAGTACACACCAGTCAGCATTTGTGGTTAAGTTGTTGCTAACATGATTCAAATGCCGGGCTGCCGGGTTCAATCCCAGCTGCGGATGGTTTGTATTGTATTAGTTTCGACAGTGAGTGATACTGACAGCTGACCGTCAGAAAGCAAAGGCAAAATACTAAAAGTAAAGAATTTGCCTAGAAACACAGCAATAGCCAAAAAATGCTGGGGTTGTTTCTGAAAGTCTTGTAAAAGATACACAACCAACTTAACCAAAAAATATACAATACTAGCACCTTTTTTAAAGACACTGATTGTTTCAGAGCTATTGTAATAGCCTTTTGGTGGTAAATACGTGTACCTTTTAAAATCATTTTGAGACGAACACCGGCACTTTTATTTTAAGGGGAGGGGAGGGGGACCCTGATTAGCACAAATATACCAGATTTGTAAAATGGATGTGTATACAAAATTCAAATTGCTTCACTTTGACAAAGAAAACGGGTTTTACTGACCCAGCCACCAAGAGCAAAGCAACGGATGTCGTTGTGTTTAGTATGACCTCCTGCTGAGGTCAACTTCCCACCAAATATCTCAACAACAACAACAAAATTGAGGCGGGGTGGGGGGGGGGGGCCTGGAAACACAATACCCATCACGTCGTCTACACACTAGAGCTGCAACCAGTGCCAAAACTGTTAATACTGACTATTGGCCCCTGTCCAAAGATATCATGTCAACAACAAAAACACATAAAGTCGGTAAACTGGCTTTCTTGAAGCAACAGGGTTAACTGGGAAGGCATATTTCTGACTTACACTGTAGGTGAGAAGCTACTAAAGGAACAGAGAGTTGATGAGGGAAATAATTCAGTAAAAGGACCCTTTTCCACGCCCTCAAGCGTACCGGACATATATGACTAGCCTATATTTTATAGACCAATCAGAACTCGGGCGTGATGTGGTCAACATCACGCCAGCTGCCTTTACTTGCCAGGATTTTATCAGGTACCCATTTAAGACTGAGATGATCAGAGACCCAAGGTGATTTTTTGGGGAGTTTTGTCAGGCTCCGTTCAGATTCGGATCCACAGGCAAGTGTCTAGCCGCCTGACCACGGAAAAGGACAGTAGAAAGGAAAATCAAACAATGTAAAAAGGTATGGGATATATTAGACAGAAAAGTAGCAGGCCAACAGCAATAAACATCTTCTGTGAATGCTGCATGTGTCAACAGCGACATGATGAAGATACAGAAAAATTGTTGTTTCCCCCTTTCTAGATGATTAATTAATTGCGTATCCTTTACAGGATATTCCAGAACCAACCCCAGCACTTTCTGGCTGCTGTGGTGTTTCTAGGCAAATTTACAACCAGTAGTTTGCCACTGCTTTCTGGACAGTTGGCTCTCAGTATCACGGTCGAAACCACCGCAAGACAAACTGTCTGCAGCAGGGATTGAACCCAGCACCCCAGCATTACGAAGAGCGTTCGCAACTCCTAAGCCACAGACACCGATTTCTAGATGATAGGAGTGTTACACTGTGCTACGAGGAGGCATGGGATTCACAGCTCATGGAGATGACAAGTGTGACTTGCAAAACTTGTCCATCTTAACTCACTGAGTCCCAAGGAAGGCATCATGCGTTTATAGGTTCCTACCTAGAAGCCCAATGAACGCATGAGGCGCCGATTTTATAACTCTATTTACTACCCTCTGGGCCTGTGATGCTAAACCCCCTGGGACTCAAGGAGTTAAGAAAAGTTTTCCACAATTAGTGCATGGGATTTGGGAACCGATGCTGCCATCACATGTATTTATTGTGCTTTATCTCAGACGCTCAGCTTGTTTCCTTTCTGCAATCATCTTTACCTTCATTCTCCTTACATTCATAATTTCCTTCCTTCAAACAATAGTCCCATGGCATTCTGATCCCATAAATCTGCCTCAATACCTGCATCATTCATGTCCTGCTTGTATAAATTTTTATATCATAGTAGAGTTCAGCCTCAGCACCTTCTACCCATCTGTAATTCACCATTGAACAGTGGTTCTCAACTTTCCTAATGCTGTGACCCTTTAATACAGTTCCTTCATGCTGTGGCAACCCCAAAACAATTGTTTTCCTTAATAACTTCAATGAAAATGTGTTTTCCTGTGGTCTCAGGTGACCCCTGTGAAAGGGTCATTCGACCTAAAAAGGGTTGTGACGGGCAGGTTGAGAACTACTGTCATAGGGGATGTCCCTGGGAAAGATTCAGAAAGAGACCACTACAAAACAGACTTACCTGGCCTTTGAGGACAATCTTCTTCAAGCCAGCAAACCTGGCCTGCATGGAATTTGTGTTGAATTCTGTGAAACAAAACACTTGTATCAACACACGGCCAACTAGATAGTCTTCTTGAGATTATCATCCTTACCTGCACAGGACTACAGGCTGCAGCATGCTTGTCTAATCATTGTGGCTTCCCAATTAAAACCTTTTTTTTAAAATTAGGTCAAACAGGGAATCTGGGATTTGCAGCACTGTTGGTCTAGACGGCTAGACGATCACCTGCAGATCTGAAGGTCATGGGTTCATATCCCAAAGGAGCTGGACTTGACAAACCTGACCTTGGCTGCCAGATCGACTCATTCATAAATGGGTACCAGGTAAAGTCCTGGGAAGGGAAAGACCGCTAGCGTGATGTTCAACACATCTCCCACCAAGTGACGATTGGTCTATAAAATATAGGTTTAGCACTATATGCCCAATATGCCTGAAGGCGGGAGATAGGGTCCTTTTTACCTGTCTGCTATTCATTGCAAATTTCAGGTGTCAAATCTTCTTCTTCTTCTTCTTTTCTTCTTCTCTATAGTATTTGTGCGTGGCATCCTGATTTTTACAGTGAACCTCTTCGCTGGTTGCCTCCGACCTTTTCATGTATATGTCTGTTATCATCATCATACTATAACACTTGGGGAGAGGGGTGTCAACAAAGAAGGGGGGAGAGGGTCAAAGAAAAACCTGGGATGACAATATCCAGAAATGGTTAGGACTAAATTACTATATACTTGTTCAACAAAGAGAAAGATGGGCAGGTTTTGTGTCCTAGTGCTTCCATCCACATACCTCTACGACATTTTCAGCTATCTTATTCATCTTCACGGACACAAAATCAAATACAGCTTTTGAAGATATTGGCAATCTTCTTTTTCTGGCTGTTCTTTGTTTTCAGGAGTGCTGGCATTTCAAGATCCCTAAAGGTCATCAGCATTTCCTAGATACCTAAAGGTCATCGGCATTTCCGAGATCGTTTTTTTGCCATGCCGATCTTTATTCCCAAGTCTGCCATTCTGACGAGCGATGTGGATCCACTGCCCCCAAAGTCCTCTATCCTTCCCATTTCTCTGAGGGCGTCTAGTTCACAATCCAAAAACAATGGTCTGGCTGCTCTTGTTTGAGGGTTTTTTCCGGATGGGAAGTATTCCAATGTGTTCTAGTTCTAATAGAGAGATTTGGAATGATCTAAGGATTGTTGACGAAAATAAAAGAGAGATAAACGTCATTCCCTGTGTGGGTTTTGGTATCCCACTGTGCAGGGAAAAAGAATAGACCCATTGCCTCCTCAACAAGCTTGTCATAAGAGTGCATCTGCCTGCGGGGCAAGGAACCAAGAGTCTGCCTACAAATAAGTCAGATCTGTAAAATAGATGTGCATGCAAAACTCAAGATCTGAAACAAGGCTAAAGTTCAGAAGTGGACGAACAACCAGAATTTCCCATGTAGTTTACAGCTGGTGAACGCAAAGAAGAAGAAGAAAAAGATTTCAATCACATAAATCGAAACTACAATCAACATGGTTGTTATAACAGGATAATGTCTTTCAATGTGACCAAAATATTTCACAAATAAGATACACCTTTGTTCACTAAAGAATCATCCTGCTTGCACTTTGACTAAACCCGTATGTGCCTGGACTTTCTCCTAAGCCTGTATCTTAGTGTCTTTACACTGACAATTCCTGTTCTGTACTGGCCTGGCTGATACAGCGACTTGAGCTCTTCTATGGTTTTCATGTCGGCTGCTCCAACTGGCGTATCTGCACGTGGCATTCAAGTCAGAGAGAAACAGTATCCTTATGACTGAGGTCTTCCACGGGGCATTGTCTCTTGTGTAGCAAAATTACGTCCATTATGTCTATAGAAGACACACTTCCTAGGGTGGCATTGCATTCAAGGGTATCCATCATCCTGCTGCCTTTTCCACCGGTATGTCCTGGATCAAAGATGAAGGTAGGGGTAAGAAGTGCTGCTTGTGGTAATGACTGATACCATACTGTATCATCTTTATTATATTCAAGGAATTTCCTATGTGGGTTTCGGGTCCCATGTCAGAAAAACAAGAATATACCCACTTCTTATTCTTCTTCAAGTCCTCTTTTACCGCTTCAGGTGTCGATGGAGAAGAAGAAATATAAGTTCCTGCTTCATGCTCTTCTGACTGCTTTGACCACAGACACAATGTGGTGCTGTAGAGTTTCTCTGATGTTATCTTCCCATATTGTTCTTGGTCTACCTCCTGCTCTATGTCCCTCTCCTCTTTTGGTATATGCCTTGTATGGTATGGCATCAGAAAGGATTCTCTTCAAGTGGGCAAACCATTTGATTTGCTGCCTTCCCAAAAAGCATGTCATAAGAGTTTACTAAATTGGGATGGCTTCCTTGGAAGTTGGAGCGCATAGTATTGTATATTGTTGTGTTAAGTTTGTAGTGTATCCTTTACAAGACTTTGCCGAAACAACCCCAGCATTTTTTGGCTATTGCGGTGTTTCTAGGCCTAATACTCAGGGGAGGGACGAGACAGACTTACAATCGACTGCTTCTAGTACCATTGCAAGTGGAAATCTGCATTTGCTGCTAAAAAGCCGAACTCTGCATTTGCTGCTAACAAGTGGAACTCTGCATTTGCTGCTAACAAGTGGAACTCTGCATTTGCTGCTAACAAGTGGAACTCTGCATTTGCTGCTAACAAGTGGAACTCTGCATTTGCTGCTAACAAGTGGAACTCTGCATTTGCTGCTAACAAGTGGAACTCTGCATTTGCTGCTAACAAGTGGAACTCTGCATTTGCTGCTAACAAGTGGAACTCTGCATTTGCTGCTAACAAGTGGAACTCTGCATTTGCTGCTAACAAGTGGAACTCTGCATTTGATGCTAACAAGTGGAAATCTACATTTTCTGCTAACAAGTGGAACTCTACATTTTCTGCTAACAAGTGGAACTCTGCATTTGCTGCTAACAAGTGGAACTCTGCATTTGCTGCTAACAAGTGGAACTCTGCATTTTCTGCTAACAAGTGGAAATCTACATTTTCTGCTAACAAGTGGAACTCTGCATTTGCTGCTAACAAGTGGAACTCTGCATTTGCTGCTAACAAGTGGAACTCTGCATTTGCTGCTAACAAGTGGAACTCTATATTTGCTGCTAATAAGTGGAACTCTACATTTGCTGCCAACAAGTGGAATTCCTTATTTGCTGCTAACAAGTGGAACTCTGCATTTGCTGCTAAAAATGGGGAAGGAGTGCTTATGGGAATATCCCAAGTGCTATGATGTCTGTTCTTAACTCATATCTCTAAGGTGTTTGTGGAGAGACATTAGAGAGAGACAAGAGACAATTACCTTCTAGGTAAAAGCTGCAGTTGATGTCCTTGGCCTGCCCGTAGGACTGATTGTGAAAGCCCAGGTGAAAGAGCTTCAGTGACACAGACAAGCTCCTGTATGGTGAGAAGACAACAGGTTAGTTTGTTGGTTTGTCAGTTTATTGGTAACCTGTAACTATTTTACTAGCTGTATTTTAACAACACCATCATACCTTTAAAGACCTGATGTGAAAGCTAGAGGCCACTCTATGAGAATATGGACTGATGACAATGAAGACCATTTAAATTTACACAGAATGGCAATATCTATTTGCTACCCTTCAAGCAATGAATCGCAAACTGTGCTTCACGCATGATGCTTAATGGCAAAAGCGGAAACTGAAGATAATGATGATGATCATACCTTTTTTTCTTCTAATCTCACTTTTTCTTCTATGCTTTAGTTTAATCTTCTATTCCTCTTCTCTTTTCTCTGCATCTTCTGTTTCTTTTCTCCTATTCCTTTCATTCTACTAATCTTCCTCTTCTTTTTTCTTCTAAACTTCATCTTCTATTTCTCTTCTCTCTGATTTTCTTCTACCCTCTTCTCTGATTCTTCTCTTGAGCCATTCTGTGGAGAAAGATGCGGCCCTGTGATAAAAGTGGGTGCAATAAGTTCCCAACAAGGCATCACCGATAACCATGCAAGAAATCAAGCAACCGAGGTGGGATGAGGATTAAGGCATACAAGCTAAGATAGCCACTGGTTAAGGCTAGATACTAGGAGCCTATAGTGAAAGCAAAAGGAATTGAAGAAGAACTGTCACAGGATACTGAAACTCTATGGTGCAGATTCAAAAATATCCTCGCAGCAGCTGCAGTAGAAGCATGTGATGAAGTGCCAAGTGGAAAGCCACTAAAAAGAACACCTTTGTGGATGGAAGAAGTCAAACTGAAAATAGGAGAAAGGAAAAGGGCATGGAAGCAATACCTGGCAGCCAGGAACAAAGCTGTTTTTTCTTCATCATCATCATCATCACCTTAAAAAAAAGTCAGCGTTTGTTGATTATCTAATTACAAGAGAGGCCCTACAGAACCTCATGATCAATGTGGAGGTGGGGGAACAGTGGTAAAAGCAACCCTAGGAGCCATCATGGTATAGCATCTAGATGCTCGTTTGTGGATTGGAAGGTCATGGGTTTGAGTCCTGACAGAGCCGTTCTTTTTTTCTTCAAAAATTACATTGGCTCCCAGGTGGAACTAGCCTTGAGTGGGAAGTAAAGGCAGCCAGCGAGATGCTAACCACAACACCCACTGATACCGATTGGTCTATAAAATATAGGTCTAATACGCCTAAAGGCGTGGAAAAGGGTAGTTTCCCTTTTTTTTTTATTTACAGCAATCCAGATACCCCCCCCCCCCCCCCCCCCCCCCCCCCCCCCCCCCCCCCCCCCCCCCCTGTGGGTTCCGGGGCCCTATTGTGGGGAAAACAAGAATAGACCCACTGCCTCCCCAAAAGTATGTCGTAAGAGTCGACTAACTGGGGAACTTCCTTTGAAGTCGGAGTGCATCTGCCTGAGAGGCGAGGAACCAACAGTCTGCATTCAATTGAATCAGATCTGTAAAACTGATGCACACGCATCTGGAGCATGGCTGCAGTCCAGAAGTGGATGAGCAACCAGAACTTTACGCCAGAGTGTACAGCTGGTGAACGCGAAGAAGAAGAAGAAGATACTGACCATTCCAAATCCAGACATTGACCATTCTAAGAATGAAAAGATACTAATCCTTCTAAGATAGGTATCACAGAAGGCTATCAATATCATTAACAGAATTGACCGACATCACCAAGAACTGAGATCTGACTAGGCATAATATAATAATGATGATCCTATCTGTACACACATTAGTTTCAAGATAGTACATAAACTGCACTGACTGCTGAAGATGGGGTCACAGTGTTTATAAGAATGCTCCAAGCCCTGGGATGTCAGTTCTGAATTCTTATTAGTCTGCAGATGTATATGCACTTTCTCCAATCTACCGCTATACAAATTGCTTGGTGCACTAAAGCCTGGCATATGATAGTCTAGTTTGAGAATGGAGGTGAAGGCAGTTACTGCTGCCTTCCACTGGCTTAAGAATCAGCTGTACACACATGCTGTCATTGTAACTGACTCAAGGAGCATGTTGAGAAAGGTGGAGACAGGCATGCTCCGTGCAGAGTGGCAAGCATCACTTCAAAGGTCCCGGGTAGTTAGCATGTTTTCCAGGTCATGCCGGTGTGTAGAGAGATGAGCAGGTAGATGCACTGGCCTGTTCTGCACCACTTGGTGGTGAACTGATGTATGACAAGCTGGATGTTGTGAGGGCCCTCTGGGAGCGAGTGAACAGTGGGGAGGCAAAGACAGATCATTACGGTCTGAGAAGAATGACACTGCGAGGGGTTACAATGTAATCTGGCCGACACTCGACACTCAGGGGAAAGGTGAGACAGATACACAATCAGATAGTTACTGGCACCATTGGAATTGTAACTCTTCGCTTGCTGCTGAGGATGGGGAATGAGCACTTATAGGGGTGTCCCAAGTGGTGTGATGTCGATTCTTAATTCAACATCCGCTATATAAATTAGTGGTGTGGCAATACTCTAATAAGGAATACTTAGGGAACGGCTCTGGTGTGGCAGCTAGACACTCACCTTGGGTCTGAAACATTTATATCTGCAGATGGCCAGATTTTTTATTACAAACGACCTTGGCTCAAAGGTTGACCCCGCCTAAATGGGGTGGGTACAAGGTAAAGTCCTGGGAAGTAAAGGTGGCTGGCATGATGTTTGACTACATCACCCACCAAGTGCCGATTAGTCTTAAAAAAATATAGATCTAGCAATATATAGCTGATATGCCTAGGTTTTGATGTTTAAAATAACGGATCAACATCATGGCACATGGGTGTAACCCATAAGTGCTCCATCCTTCTTCTAACTCAAGTCTGAGTCCGAAGAAGCTCAGCACAGTGCAAAGGCTACGTAGCATCTGTGAGGATCCTGAAATACTTTGGGTAGATTTTTAACTCCAAATTTGGTCCATGCAGCACTGTTAGGCTACTCTTTTCGATTTCCAACAGCCAAGAGATTTTTAACGTGCGCAACAATGCACTCGGGCGTCCAATCTCGCAATCAGGGAAAATTACTAGAAGTCCAAGTCCACGTACAAATATCCCAGCCCTTACCAGGGATTGAACCCGGAACCTCTAGCACTTGAGGGGGACACCATGTCTCGAGACCAAGCAGCACCTCAATATGCTGAACAGCAGGGAAAAGAGTACTGTACTTGTTATGCATTACCATTCCCCTAATGTCAGCAATAAAGGATTTCTAGTGCCCGCCACTCTCTCTTTATCATCCGAAGATCAACAGTTCTAAGAGAATGATGTCAGAAACATTCAATGCTTTGGCTCACCTCTGCTTGGTTTCCCTGACGATCGTCACGGCCAGGTCTGAAATATCACAGGTGACTTCTTGCTGAAACACAATGGTCATCTTTTTTGTAACTCTAGCATATGTGTTACAAAAATGGGTGATTTCTTCTTCTTCTATGTAACTCTAGCATATGTGTTACAAAAATGGGTGATTTCTTCTTCTTCTATGTAACTCTAGCATATGTGTTACAAAATTGGGAGATTTCTTCTTCTTCTATGTAACTCTAGCATATGTGTTACAAAAATGGGTGATTTCCTCTTCTTCCATGTAACTCTAGCATATGTGTTACAAAAATAGGTAATTTCTTCTTCTTCTTCTAAGTAACTTTAGCATATGTGATACAAAATGGGGTGACTTCTTCTGCTTCTATGTAACTCTAGCATGTGTTACAAAAATGGGAGATTTCTTCTACTTCTTCTTCATGTACCCCATCTGTGAACTGCGGTGGGGAAAACTTCTGGTTGTACATCTACTCCTAGACTATAGTCTTGATCCAGAATGTGAGTTGAAATCTATTTAACAGATCTGGCTTATTTGTACGCAGACTGATGATTCCTTGCCTCTCAGGCAGAAGTGCTCAGACCTCCTACAATATGCTTGTTGGGAAGAAGAGTGGGTCTATTCTTTGTTCTCCAAAATTGGATCCGGGAACCCATTTGGGTAAACAGGTGATGTAACTGAGGCAAATATTAAACTGATGGGATAGTTTTCTTCTTCCTTGCATTCATTCATCAGCTGTAACCTCCAGTGGAAACTCTTAACTGTTCGTTTCTGATAAGGAATCTGCCTCTAGTATAATCCAGGAAGGTGTAGAAAGGTCTTGAGCTACTGCACCACTGGGCGCGGTTCAGTACCTCCACATCTACAAAGGACAGGACTTCCAGTCTAAAATGGAGGACTAGGCATGGCAGCATTCAAAGTTATTTTTGCTTCCTACAGCACAGCATTTTACTAATGCAGTTTCAACATATGGACGGTGCTGCCTAAGCTTTTGAGTTTAGTGCTTGGTGCAGCCATGTGAGCTGTGTTTTTCATGTGGAATGGCTTTCATTTATGCATTTTTTTTACATGTGAATAGCTAACTTATCATGCCTGACTACTTCCAACAATGGCAAACTGCACTTCGGGTGGCAACTGTTGGCTTTGGCACCTCTAGCAACTTCCTCATGCATTTACTGTGTGAGTATATTTATGGATTGTTCAGGGACTAATTGTTTGTTCACCAGTTTTTCAAATGCAACAGTGAGGGACATTTCATTTGATTTTCACTGGCACAGGAACAAAACAAGTATGGCAAAAGCCGATTGCAGTGAAGCTAAAGCCTCGAATAAGACTAAGATTGGACAGATCTGAAAGTGACGAGACAGTCATTCTAAAGTAAATTGGGGAGGAAATCAATATGCATTCATTTACTGATTAAATTATTCACTTTTTAATTCATACACCCATTTTTTTCGCTAATTCTTCATTAATTCACTCTTCCATCCATTTATTCACTCATTTATACATCAACTCATTCACTTAATCATGCATTTATTCACTCACTCGCTAATTTCATCCATTTATTCATTCACTTATTCATTCATCCATCCATTTATTCATAATTCTTCGTTCACTCAATCATGCACTTATTCACTCACTCACTAACTCATCAATTCATTCATTCACTTTTCATTCATCCAACCGTTAATTCATCATTCACTTTTCATTCATCCAACCATTAATTCATCATTCACTTTTCATTCATTCAACCGTTAATTCATCATTCACTCATTCACCTAGTCATAGTTTCATCCATCCATTCACTCATACGAGATGATCAGCTAGTAACTTCTCTAGCAGCTGAAGCCTAGATAGAACACCATCACTGGGCTTCTGAAGTAGAAGACGCATCAACGGCTCCATCTGTCAGTTTAAACACAGCTCCAGCCTTCCCCACTTCCATCCATCAATAATCTTTTTTCACATTCACCGGTTGTAAACTTCAGCAGTAAGATCTGGTTGTTCACCCACCTTTGGACTTAGTCTCATTCCTGAACCTGAGTGTTGCGTGCACATCCGTTTTACAGATCTGACTTATTTGTATGCAGTGTTAGTTCCTTGCATCTCAAGCAGATGCACAAGAAAGCCCCTGAATTAGGCAACTTTTTTGACATGCTTGTTGGGAAGGCAGTGGGTCTGTTTCACAATAGGACCCCAAAACCCACTCAGGGATTTCCATCCATCCATTCACTCACACAAGAATCAGCGGCCAACTTACCAGCTTCTCTAGGAGCTGTAGTTTGGACAGGAAGGCATCACTGGGCCAGTGAGACTCACTCTCTAGAGAATCTGCCTGACCGTCAGTGGGCTCCCTCATCTCTGTGTGCTGCCTTAACGGCTGCGGCTGTAGATGATCTGCTGCTGGCTGAGCCTCCATCTGGTCATCTGTCTGTCGCTGAAGATCTTCCGGACCTGGCTGGGAGTTTGTAGGACCCATTCCTTGTCTGTTCATGGTTTGTAGACTTTGGATAAATCCTGGACGGAAAGCAAAGGTTTGGGCGCGGCTGACCAGTATTCTTTTATGAACAATCATAACAGCTCATAACACATCAATGTCTATCCAATGACAAAGTCTGTATGTCTCTCGAGAACCCCCTTATTTATCTAATGGGCTCCAATTTGCCTAGGGGACTTAGCCAAATGTATTCGCAACATTCTTCTCAAGAACCACATGTCAGTTGCCTCCAAACTCTTCTTAATTTGTTTGCTCACAAGTGTGTCCTCCAGTGGTAAAGAAGATGTATAAGCACAGCCTGTATAATGTTCCTGTGCTATAACCCAAAAGGAGGTAGAGAGATGGAAACCTTCTTCTTCTTCTTCTGTGTTCACCCTTAAAAGGGCAGCAGGTCTGTTGTCTTGTGGTTTACAGCTTAGCTGTGAAATCTGCACCTTCTGTTGCAAGGAACTTTTGATTAGTCGCAGTTTGATATGTGCGTCCCAGATGGGGGGGGGGGGGATATCATAGACTTTCTATAGAACACATCTGGGTTTGCGAAGTAGCTGCTATCGCTCCTCAGGGTGATGAGCTACTTTATGATACAGTGGACATGATGAAGGCTCTCAGGGAGCAAACAGACAGTGCAACAGAACAGATGGAGAATCCATACACTAAAAGAGAGGAGGGTAAGCAGAGGTTCTGACAGATATTTAATGCCGAAGGGATCATAGGCACACTTTTAATCAGGTTGCAACTAGTACTATTAGCCTGTCGGCTCTTTGTGGCTGCTGCAAAAGGAGATAAAGCACGGATGGGAATGTTCCGAGTGCAGTGATGTCAATTGTTGATTGATTGTTTTTCTTTTTTTTTACTGATTCATTGATTCATTCATTATGACGTGCTTGTAGAACACAGTGGGTCTATTAATTGTGTCCCCCAAAATGGGGTCTTGAAACTTATCTGTGGGATGAGAGAGGTGAGACAAGTAAGACATGTGAGACAAGTGAAGACATGTGAGACAAGTGAGAAATGTGAGACAAGTCAAGACATGGGAAACAAGTGAGACATGTGAGACAAGTGAAGACATGTGAGACAAGTGAGAAATGTGAGACAAGTCAAGACATATGAGACAAGTGAGACATGTGAGACAAGTAAAGACATGTGAGACAAGTGAAGACATGTGAGACATGAGACAAGTGAAGAAATGTGAGACAAGTGAGACATGTGAGACAAGTGAAGACATGTGAGACATGAGACAAGTGAAGACATGTGAAGACATGTGACAAGTGAAGATAAGTGAAGACATGTGAAGACATGTGAGACATGAGACAAGTGAAGACATGTGAGACAAGTGAAGACATGTGAAACAAGCGAAGACATGTGAGACATGTGAGACAAGTGAAGACATGTGAAGACATGTGAGACAAGTAATACATTTGAGACAAGTGAAGACATGTGAGGACAAGTCAAACAAGTGTGGTGTGAGACATGTGAGACAAGTGAGACTAGCTTCAATTTTAGTGTTAACATACCTTCTGTGACCATCATCTGTGGCTTAGCAACAGCTGTCTTCAACGCCTGGGAAGGAGGCACAGACAAGAAAACATTTACTGAATGAAATGTGTTGTAAATTTTATTTGTACTATAAAATACGAAATAATATGTAGGAATTACATAAATTTGCAGGACATCAGGAGACTTCTGGCAGTCGACGTCGCAAACCAGCCTTGTTCTAACACGTGGTGAGACATGATTCGATTTCAAAAACTATACTTCAAGAAATGTCAGAGGTAGTCAAAGAAGATGGTATTTTAATGGTGTTTAATGCCCCTCTTCCACCAAGAAGGTCCTGATGTTGAGTCCTCATCAGTGCAGTATTTTTATTACAGAGGGCGGCACTCGGTGGCAGAAAACGCCAGCTGCCTTTACTTCCCATGACATTACCTGATACCCATTTGAGGCTACCTGGAAGCCAAGGTCAATTTTGGAGAAAAAAATCCAGCCAGAACTCAAAATAGTTTTGCTAGGGCAGATAGGAAAGAAGATATAGAAATACTAACAAGTGAAAGGGATGCAAATCTAGGAAATCATGAAGAAGAAAAGGCGGCAGCCACTCACCACAATCTTGACCGGCTCCTTCTTGTCCACCTTAGCATCCATTTTATATGTGAAAGAAACCTCGGCTAGGCAGTTTTGTTGACCTGCAGATTCCTGTAATACCAATGAAGCCAAGAATATTTTTACACTGACAGTCTATAGTTACTGGCGCCCTTCCATTTTCATAGACTTCTTCTTCTACTTTACAGTTTGTCCTAGTGACATAATTGAACTGTGCTGTTTACAGCATGGACATTAGACTGTGACTAGGATGATACATCAGACAACTGATGACTAGGTAGCCCACTGGCTTGCCGGTAGAAGACTTTGTCACTGGTCAGCAAAGTAACTGGGTCTGTCTCTTTTGATCGCATCAACACTGAAGGAGCCCTTTTTAGGGCTTTTGATGGCATGCAATGTTACGTATTTTATACGGCACAAATAACCTAGTCACAATTATAATCTAATGCTCCCCCTTCAGGGATGCTGGCTGAACTATGGCAAATTTTTTTTTTTTTAAACTCATGATGATACATCAGACTTCACTGGCCATTTGCTGGGTTCGCCTTGATATACAACATCAGATAAAGGATACACAAAAAACCTTTTTTTTAAATAAGGAAACCTAAGAATTGTATTCATATACAGGGTCAGACAGGTGATGTGGTCAAGGTCATTGCCTGCTGCTCTAAAGATCGAGGGGTCATTTTCCAACTTCGTCATTTGATTCATGAGGACAATTTGATTGACATTCCCAGAGCTGCTATGAGCTTCAGAGTTTGCTATGAGCTTCAGAGTTTGCTATGAGCTTCAGAGTTTGCTATGAGCTTCAGAGCTTGCTATGAGCTTCAGAGTTTGCTATGAGCTTCAGAGTTTGCTATGAGCTTCAGAGTTTGCTATGAGCTTCAGAGTTTGCTATGAGCTTCAGAGTTTGCTATGAGCTTCAGAGTTTGCTATGAGCTTCAGAGCTTGCTATGAGCTTCAGAGCTTGCTATGAGCTACTATGAGCTACAGAGCTGCTATGAGCTTCAGAGTTTGCTATGAGCTACAGAGTTTGCTATGAGCTTCAGAGTTTGCTATGAGCTTCAGAGCTTGCTATGAGCTACAGAGTTTGCTATGAGCTACAGAGCTGCTATGAGCTACAGAGCTTGCTATGAGCTACAGAGTTTGCTATGAGCTACAGAGCTGCTATGAGCTTCAGAGCTTGCTATGAGCTACAGAGTTTGCTATGAGCTACAGAGTTTGCTATGAGCTACAGAGCTGCTATGAGCTTCAGAGCTTGCTATGAGCTACTATGAGCTACAGAGCTGCTATGAGCTTCAGAGTTTGCTATGAGCTACAGAGTTTGCTATGAGCTTCAGAGTTTGCTATGAGCTTCAGAGCTTGCTATGAGCTTCAGAGCTTGCTATGAGCTACTATGAGCTACAGAGCTGCTATGAGCTTCAGAGTTTGCTATAAGCTACAGAGTTTGCTATGAGCTTCAGAGTTTGCTATGAGCTACAGAGTTTGCTATGAGCTATAGAGTTTGCTATAAGCTACAGAGCTGTTATGAGCTACAGAGCTGCTATGGGCTACAGAGCTTCTATGAGCTACAGAGCTGCTATGAGCTACAGAGCTGCTATGAGCTTCAGAGTTTGCTATGAGCTACAGAGTTTGCTATGAGCTACAGAGTTTGCTATGAGCTTCAGAGTTTGCTATGAGCTACAGAGCTGCTATGAGCTTCAGAGTTTGCTATGAGCTACAGAGTTTGCTATGAGCTTCAGAGTTTGCTATGAGCTTCAGAGTTTGCTATGAGCTTCAGAGCTTGCTATGAGCTTCAGAGCTTGCTATGAGCTACTATGAGCTACAGAGCTGCTATGAGCTTCAGAGTTTGCTATGAGCTTCAGAGTTTGCTATGAGCTACAGAGTTTGCTATGAGCTACAGAGTTTGCTATGAGCTATAGAGTTTGCTATGAGCTACAGAGCTGTTATGAGCTACAGAGCTGCTATGGGCTACAGAGCTTCTATGAGCTACAGAGCTGCTATGAGCTACAGAGCTGCTAAAAGCTACAGAGCTGCTATAAGCTACAGAGCTGCTATGGGCTACAGAGCTGCTATGAGCTACCGAGCTGCTATAAGCTACAGAGCTGCTATGAGCTACAGAGTTGCTATGAGCTTCAGAGTTTGCTATGAGGAAACTCTTTTGGCTATGCAGAACAAGACTGAGCAATATGGAAGAAAAAAAACAGTCTGTTCTTCTTCCCACCCCCCCCCCCCCAATCTGCCTAGTGTTCAGATTCTGATCCAGGATAGTGTAAGGATTGTTGTGTGACATTTCTTCTTCTTCTTTGCGTTCAATGTCTGTAAACTCTGGCAGAAAGTTCTAGCTATTCGTCCACCTTCTTACTTCAGTCTTGTTCCACAACCTGTGTGTTGTGTACACACCAGCTTTACATATTTGACTTATGTGTATGCAGACTTTTGGTTCCTTGCCTCTCAGGCAGATGCACTTGACTTTGAAAGATGTCCCAATTAGGCAACTCCTACAACATGCTTGATTGGAAGGAGGTGAGTCTATTCTTACTTTCCCCCACAATGGGACCCCAGAACCCACATGGGTAATTTTTGTTCAAAAGTTGATATTTTCTTCTCTGAAATTAAATGCCCATGGAATCTAACCTGATCAAGAAATGACCAAGGATGGTTATGTGGGACAAAATGTGCAAATATCGCAGCTTTGCTGTAAAAATAAATGTTGTGTGAAATTATGACCAGAATATCAGATGAACTATCACTACTACCTATTCCCCGTGTGGGTTCCGGGGTCCCATTGTGGGGAAAACAAGACCAGACCCACTGCCTACCCAAAAGCATGTCGTAAGAGTCGACTAATTGGGGAGCTTTCTTTTGAAGTCGGAGTGCATCTGCCTGAGAGGCAGGGAACCAACAGTGTGCATTCAAGTGAATCAGATCTGTAAAATGGATGCACATGCAGCCCTCAGGTTCTGGAGCAGGACTGCAGTTCAGAAGTGGACGAACAACCAGAGCTTTCCGCCGCAGTGTACAGCTAGTGAACGCAAAGAAGATGAAGACTACTACCTGTATTTACCATTTACAGCTTTTTAGATTAATATAGACAGGGTAGAAGATAGGGTTGGGGGGGGGGGGGGGGTGTTGTGTAGGAGATCAGGAGCCTGAGGATTTAGTGCTGCAGGGCTCGTAATATTGCCACAGACTGTGAAGATTAGGATGTTTCATCCCAGACAGAAATATTCCATCACCTTACCGGGGATCGAACTAGCATGAGAGCCTGGCACTGTAATCGCTCCTAAGAACAAATAATGCGAAGAAATAATATAAATCTCTACTAAATGGTAGCTTGTTACCCTGACTTACTTCAGAACTGCGCAGTGCCTTACAGCTGAAATTGCTTACGTTCATACACAGTTCATACCTGTCAACAAACAAGAAACATTCCAATCAATGTTTTTATTATAATAACAATAAAACAATAAGGTAACCCAAACAGAAGAAGACCACAATTTTTTCCTTTTTTTCATGTTCACCAGCTGTAAACTCTAACAGAAAGTTCTGGTTGTTCAGCCACTTTTGAATTGTAGTCTTGGCCCACAACTAATTTTGAGTGCACATCAGTTTACAGATCTGGCTTATTTCTAAGCAGACTGCTGGTACCTTGCCTCTTAGGCAGACTCAAGCTGACTTTGAAAGAAACACCCCCCTAATAAGGAGACTTTTATGACATTCTTGTAGGGGAGAGAGGGGGGAGGGGGAAGTGATTCTAATTTTTTTTTCCAGCACAATGGCAAAACGCCACACAATACTTCTCCCCTTACAAAAACAAAACACCACACAATACTTCTTCCATTACAAAAACAAAACACCACATAATACTTCTCAACTTACAAAAACAAAACACCACACAACACTTCTCCCCATAGAAAAACAAAACACCACATAATACTTCTCAACTTACAAAAACAAAATACCACACAATACTTCTTCCCTTACAAAAACAAAACACCACACAATACTTCTTCCCTTACAAAAAACAAAACACCACACAATACTTCTACCCTAACAAAAACAAAAAGGCACACAATATGTCTCCTCTTACAAAAACATAACATCACTCAATGGCTCTCCCCGTACAAAAACAAAACATCACTCAATGGCTCTCCCCGTACAAAAACAAAACATCACTCAATGGCTCTCCCCTTTAAAAAAAAAACACCATACAATATCTCTCTGATCACAAAATTACCACAACATCAGTCAATCAATCAGGTGCCATCTCCACAATGATAGTTGGCTAAAATGGATCTCCAACTCGCTCCGTTTCCTGCCATGGCAGTACAATCTCTCCAACTGCTGTTTATCCATTTGCTGATATTGTCCTCCCATTTGTACTGTTGTCTACCTCTTGCTTTCTTGTCTTCAACTTTTCCCTCCAGTATAGTTTTTAAAGCAGTATTATGTCTTTTAATGTTGCCAACATATTTTGGCATCATAACATACTTTCAAAACATCACACACTTACACACATAGAGGGAGAGAGGGGAGAGAACGCTCAGTGAACTGACCACACAGTGAGAGAGAGAGTTGGGAAAGAGAGAGGGAGAGAACACAGTGAACTGCCCACACAGAAAGAGAAAGAGAGAGATAGGGAGAGAGGGAGGAAGAGAGAGAGGGAGAGACAGATAAAACATTCAGTGAACTGCCCATACAGAATGAGAAAGAGAGAGATAGACAGAGAGAGACAGAGGACACTCAGTGAACTGCTCACATACACACACACAGAGGAGAGAGAGAGTTGAGTTGACTCAAGAAGTGACATCACAACACTCGAGGCATTCCAATGCATGCTCCGTCCACATCTTCAGCAGCCAGCGCAAAGTTCCAATACTGATGGTACCGGTTAAAAGTCTGTCTTGCCTTTCCTCTGAGTGTAGTGAGCAGGCCAGAGAGAGAACGAATGAACAAACTTCATTTTCATAGGGTCACAAACTAAGCATGCAGGCCTGTCTTACATTAGAAAGAGAGAGAGAGAGACAGAGACAAAGAAAAAGAACACTCAGGGAACTGACCTGTCGTAGGCAGCACTAATATCCAATGAGATCTCTGGACTAGAAAAATGTATCAGACAGTCTGGGACGATCGTCTTCAGTAACATCACCGTCACATTGTGGATCCGCAATCCCCCGTACTGTTTCCAGAAAAAAAGGAATAAATCAGTTGGGAAATGGAATGAATAAATCAATCAATGAATCAATCAAGAACTGATATCACTGCACTTGGGACATTATCACATGTGCTCTGTCTCCTTCTTCAGTTGCCAATGAAAAGTGGACATGTCAATAGTATCAGGTGCAATTTCATTGAAAGACCGCCTATGTTTCCCCCTTAGTGTTGAATATTATCCAGAACCTTACTAACACCCCACCTGCTGAATTTATCTGTCCAATGATTTCTTCTTTATTAGTAACTTACCAACCATACTAACTTTAGCGATGATGCCACACCCAACAATTTACCCACACACTCAGACAAACACATCTCTTTCTCTATGCCACTCAGTGTCTCTTTATCTCTTCTACTTTCTATCCCCCCCCCCCCCTTTTTCAACCACTCTATAAATTATCTTTTGATATGCTTTACTGAGTCTAACGTTGCTTTGTTGTATCAAATTAACTAATATGTTGTGACTACTGATAGCTTGTAACAAGTAAAGTAATGACGTGTTGTGTCAAGATCAATAATAATATAATATACTGCTGCCTTCCGCTGGCTTAAGAATCAGTTGTACACACATTCCATGATTGTAATTAACTCAAAGAGCATGTTCCATGCTCCATGCAGAGTGGTAAGCATCTATTTAGAGGTCCCGGATAGTTAGCACCCTTTGGATTTTATCTCAGGATTATGCCGGTGTGTTGGGAAATGAGCAGGCAGATAAATTGGCCAGTCCTGCACCACTTGGTGGTGAACTGATGTATGATAAGCTAGATATTGTGAGGACCCTTTGGGAGCGAGTGAACAGTATGGAGGCATATACAGATTATTTTGGTCAAAGGAGAATGTGGTGCTGTGAGGAGTTACCAGGGGTTCTGGCAAACGCTCAACACTCAGTGGAAGAGTGAGATGGAAATACAATCAGACAGTTACTTTGGAACTTAGAAATTGGAACTCTTCACTTGCTGCTGAAGACTGAGACAGAGCGCTTAAGGGAGTGTCCCTAATGCTATAATATAGATTCTTAATTCAACAATCAACAAGCTTCAATTCACGAAGACACCATAAAAAGCTTCTCCCTTGGCAAAGACACAACACAAACCCTCTTCCCTCACAAAGACACCATGAAAAGCTTCTTTCATTTACATAGATATCACTTAAACCCCCCCCCCCCCCCCTTTTTCAAAGACACCATAAAAAGCTTCTTCCCTTGACAAAGACACCACACAAAGCTCAACACACAAAGACACCATAAAAAGCTTCTTCCCTTGACAAAGACACCACACAAAGCTCAACACACAAAGACACCATAAAAAGCTTCTTCCCTTGACAAAGACACCACACAAAGACACCATAAAAAGCTTCTTCCCTTGACAAAGACACCACACAAAGCTCAACACACAAAGACACCATAAAAAGCTTCTTCCCTTGACAAAGACACCACACAAAGACACCATAAAAAGCTTCTTCCCTTGACAAAGACACCACACAAAGCTCAACACACAAAGACACCATAAAAAGCTTCTTCCCTTGACAAAGACACCACACAAAGCTCAACACACAAAGACACCATAAAAAGCTTCTTCCCCTGACAAAGACACCACACACAAAGCTCAACACACAAAGACACCATAAAAAGCTTCTTCCCCTGACAAAGACACCACACAAAGACACCATAAAAAGCTTCTTCCCTTGACAAAGACACCACACAAAGCTCAACACACAAAGACACCATAAAAAGCTTCTTCCCTTGACAAAGACACCACACAAAGCTCAACACACAAAGACACCATAAAAAGCTTCTTCCCCTGACAAAGACACCACACAAAGACACCATAAAAAGCTTCTTCCCTTGACAAAGACACCACACAAAGCTCAACACACAAAGACACCATAAAAAGCTTCTTCCCTTGACAAAGACACCACACAAAGACACCATAAAAAGCTTCTTCCCTTGACAAAGACACCACACAAAGCTCAACACACAAAGACACCATAAAAAGCTTCTTCCCTTGACAAAGACACCACACAAAGCTCAACACACAAAGACACCATAAAAAGCTTCTTCCCTTGACAAAGACACCACACAAAGACACCATAAAAAGCTTCTTCCCTTGACAAAGACACCACACAAAGCTCAACACACAAAGACACCATAAAAAGCTTCTTCCCTTGATAAAGACACCACACAAAGCTCAACACACAAAGACACCATAAAAAGCTTCTTCCCTTGACAAAGACACCACACAAAGACACCATAAAAAGCTTCTTCCCCTGACAAAGACACCACACAAAGCTCAACACACAAAGACACCATAAAAAGCTTCTTCCCTTGACAAAGACACCACACAAAGCTCAACACACAAAGACACCATAAAAAGCTTCTTCCCTTGACAAAGACACCACACAAAGCTCAACACACAAAGACACCATAAAAAGCTTCTTCCCTTGACAAAGACACCACACAAAGCTCAACACACAAAGACACCATAAAAAGCTTCTTCCCTTGACAAAGACACCACACAAAGACACCATAAAAAGCTTCTTCCCTTGACAAAGACACCACACAAAGCTCAACACACAAAGACACCATAAAAAGCTTCTTCCCTTGACAAAGACACCACACAAAGCTCAACACACAAAGACACCATAAAAAGCTTCTTCCCTTGACAAAGACACCACACAAAGACACCATAAAAAGCTTCTTCCCCTGACAAAGACACCACACAAAGCTTCTTCCCTTGACAAAGACACCACACAAAGCTCAACACACAAAGACACCATAAAAAGCTTCTTCCCCTGACAAAGACACCACACAAAGCTCAACACACAAAGACACCATAAAAAGCTTCTTCCCTTGACAAAGACACCACACAAAGCTCAACACACAAAGACACCATAAAAAGCTTTTTCCATTGACAAAGACACCACACAAAGACACCATAAAAAGCTTCTTCCCTTGACAAAGACACCACACAAAGCTCAACACACAAAGACACCATAAAAAGCTTCTTCCCTTGACAAAGACACCACACAAAGACACCATAAAAAGCTTCTTCCCCTGACAAAGACACCACACAAAGCTTCTCCATGAACAAAAACAAGACACCATTACCTACCAAAAACATCCATGAGATAAAACAGTTGACTTACAGAACCAACGAGTAGCACCTTGCTGAAGAGTTGTGCCAGGGACTGCTTCTGCTGAACTGTTCTCCTGGAGTTAGCTGGCATCTCTCCACGATTGCTGACACCCACCTGGATGCGGATGTCCTGTATGCATATCACCACCGGCTTCCTGAGTGGCAGATGATAATGCAAACCGTGATGTAGGTGGGAGGCAGTGGTAGTCACATGGTAGATGCTGCTGTTGGGGTATGCAGACAGAGAGAGAAGAGGGGGGAGGGGGGGGAGAGACAGAGAGAGGGAGAGTGCGAGTGTGTGCATGTGACTGACTGGGTGTGTGTGAGAGAGAGAGTGCAGGGGTTTGTGTACATGCATGTGTGCTTCCATTTGAGTGTGTGCTTGCATATGAGTGTGTCTATGACTGGGTGTGTGTGTGAGTGCAATGGTGTGTGTGAGTGTGTGTGTGCGTGTGTGCATGCATGCATTATTCTACACTGAAGGCTGGCCATTGTGACTCCACTGCTGTCTTTGGAAATGTTACAAGGTGGGGGGGGGTCACAATCTCTTCCATGAAAGCATGAAGGTGTCTTTTTCCAGACTGCCTGCCAGGGAAATGAAGCCTGCTATGTTGAGGAGTGCGTTGTGAAACAATTTCACAATTGCCACAGAGCTGTCATTTGAAGATTTCTACTCCACTCACACACTTGCTGAACTGACAGTCATGAAATTACCACACCTGACCTCCATTTGCCGAATTATTTCTGCAGATTTCATACCCTTACTGATTTTTTTTTTTTTTTTATGCATAAAAGAACACTGTTTCTTTGGTGAATGTTTAAAATAGGCAGGCCATCTTCAAACTGTCATTACGATGTCACCATGTTCGTCTGCATGGTGATGTAATATTTTTAGCAATCTTTACATCCTTAACAAGGAACAAGATAATCACATGGTTTTTGTAATTTCTATAACATGTAAAGGTTTTCATTTAGAGGACCCCCCCCCCCCCCCCCCACCAACCCCTTTCAGTAAACAATATCTATATCATAATGAAACCAACAGCAATATAATCACTGAGACAGTCGTGCAAAGCAAAGAACATACCTGACATCTGGGTTGACAAAGGAACTGGACAGCCAAATCTTTTCCAGCTCCTGAACAGGAAATGAAATGTTTATGGTGATTGGTGGGGTAGAGTAAACTGTTCTCTAAACAGATGTGGTATGAAATATATCGGAGAAATGGGGCAATATCTAGCGGACAGGTTCAGGCAATATCTTTTTGATGTGCAGAACTGTGTCCTCAAACTGGTGTTGTCCCTTTAAACTCTCAGTTATCAGGGTGTTTTCCAAATGGAGGTCAAGGCCATTAAGTTTCATCATCATTATCATGTAGCAGGTCCTTTGCAGAACGTCGCTCTCATCACAGTCTGCCTGAAAGAAATTTGATATGACGCCAGTTCTCCCGCCTCACGTACTTTCATACTCAAGGAGTCACTTATATCCTGTGCCCATCTTCCTCATTAAGTCTAGCCATTCTAATTAAAGAGCAAGCTAGTCTCTTGAGAATCATCTTTGCCTGTCTGTAGCCAACAGACTTTAACAAAATTTGATTATAAAGAGAAGAACAGATAGAATAATCCAAAGTACTATTTACAAGAACTTAAAACATTTACATAAATCAAAGTGGCAAATAACACAACTTCAGACTTTTGATTGACATCTTTTTTTTTACTTCTTTTTCAGCATTCCGAGCTCTTCAGGTTCTAACTGCAGATATCACCCGCCTCCACTCATCTCTCTGGTTGGCTTTCTCTTTCTAGTTGATGAAACCAAGTGTTTGCAAGTCTGTCTGGACATTCTCTTCCCATTACCTTCTTGGCCTGTCTCATGGTCCATGACCATTTAGTGCTCTTTTGTGTACAATTTTTACCTCTCTGATATCTGACATTTTTTCAATATGCCCCAGCCATTTCAGTCTATCATATCTCACGATGCCAGTGCTAGAGACAACATTGCAGATACAGATAATCTATTTCAAGCAAACGGAAGAAGAAGAAAAGATGCCAGGGATCAATAGTAATTTAAACAGATTATGAATTTTATTGTTGCTTTTATGAATTTTATTGTTGCTTCTCACTCTCCATTCCCCTCTGTTTGCATCTTTGATAGGTCCAAAGATTCGTCTAAAACTCTGTTTTTAAAAATCTGTAAAAAGGCTTCATCTCTTTTAGTTGTGCTCCAAGTTTCAGAGCCATATAAAACAACTTGTCTTATCAACATTTTATACATTTTGATCCTGGTTTTGTGAGACAGACTTTGACTTAAGAAGATGTTGAAGGGCATAGTAAACTTTTTTCCAGATTGTGTTTTAGATTGTATTTCTTCTCCCAGCATGTTGGAGCAGTTGAAGTTTGCACCCAAGTATTTATATGTTTCTGTTAGTTTGATTTTCATATTACTAACTTTAAGTAGTTGATGTTTACATCTAGTTATGATATATAGTTTTGAATAAAATATTTTATTTATAATTCCAACTTTTTTGCACATTTTATTTCTGTTCATTTCTTTTCACAGCTTTCATTTGGTAGACGATAGTAATTTTTTCGGAGACCCGTGGGGAATGTTACTGGAGCTATGGTGTTTGTTCTTTGCAGAGTTAATCAGTCACCTTTTACCGCACTCTTGTTAAAGGGCAGTGTCTATCAATTCCCTGCCCCCTCCCAAGCGACCTCAGAACTCCCACTGAACCTTCTTTTTCTTCTTCTCAGCGTTCACCAGCTTTGAAGTTCTGGTTGTCTGTTCATCTTTTGACCTTAATCTTTTCCAGAATCTCAGTTTTGTGTGCTCATCCATTTTACATATCCAACATGTCTATATGCAGACTGCTGGCTCCTTGCCTCTCAGGCAGATACACTTCAACTTCAATGGAAGCTCTCAAACAGTTGATTCTTACAACATGCTTGTTGGAGAGGCAGTGGGTGGGTGTATTCTTGTTTTCACAACAGTGGGGTCGTGGAACCCACACGGAGAAGAATAATGAATAATAATGGAGACAAAAACATCTGAATATTTGTAACAAATTATTTACCACATGGATAGAGACATTTCTCTGCAAGCTCAGCTGAACTTTTCCAAAACTGAGAAGGCCGACCTTGCCGAATCTCAGGGTCACATCCAAGTATCGTTTCAACAGCCATTGGATTATGTATGCTATCACCCTGGGGATGACAAAACATGCTGTGATTTATTTAACTTCTCTTTCTTCTTCCTCCTCCTCTTCTTCTTCTTTTATTCACTTGAAATAGATTATTTATATGTGCACTGTTGTCTCTAGTATGAGCTTGACTGTTTTTTGCAATTCACTTACTGACCCCTAAGGTTTGACCTGTAGTGGGTCTATTCTGGTTGTCTCCACAACTGGGGCCACAGAATCCACATGGGGAAGCAGCTGTAGTAAGAGGGCTGGCACAAGAAGAGGCTGGTGCTAAACACCAGAAGAAGTGCCTCTTTAAAGAATGTATTGTCTCTTCTAATTCTACTCAAACCTACTTAACTAATCGAGACGTATTTTAAAAGAAAAAAAACATTTCTGAATCATGTTCAACTTTCCTTCCAATTCGCCAGCTGACTAAAGAAATAAAATGCATTAAGAACTCTGGCTACCATCCGAATATTGGTCTCAAATTATTGAGGCCGAAAATATACCCTAACAGGGCCTCAGTCAAATGTAAATTGCGGACTTTCGGCGACTACCGCCACGAGTATCTCCCACGCCGCTATGTGCAGCGTGGAGCGGGGCTAAACTAGATGGCTAGGACTCACAAGCAGCAGCTACCGCATCTGCTTTCATTTTATTTGCTTGTGAGTCCCAGCAATCTAGTTTAGCCCCGCTCCACGCCGTGCGCAGCGGCGAGGAGATACTCTCAGCGGTGGCGGTAGTCTAAGGCGCTGTTAGGGTATATTTTTGGCCTCGATAATTTAGGACCATTATTCGGAGGATAGCCATAACTCTTTAGGGCAGCTGGCATAAAGAGAGGACTGAGATCATCAGAAGAGGATTTATGCTACCAGTGCAAAACATGGACCCTTACTACACTTAACGAGCCCAGCTGCCGGTGTGACAGAAAAAGCTAGAATGAAGAAATTAGAAGAAGACTAGAACTGAAACCAGTTATACAATTCATTAATGGGGGAAAAAAATGAGATGGTTAAGCCACCTGGCGAGAATGCCCTGGTACCAACTGTCACTCTAAAGACATATAATGAACACAGAACAAGGAGAAGACAACGCAAAAATGGAGCGACATCGTCAGGAGCAACCTAACATAACTGAACAAAAACTTGTGCAAATGCACTGAGAAAACTAAAAAAAGCGCACAAACAATCCTTTTATCTCCCCCAACATCTAGCTGAGGTAAATGGTGGAAGAGAAGAAGAAGCAGCCGATTATCTTTCACAATAAGTTTTGGTCTTTAATTTTTCCCAAATCTTCTTAACTATCCAAGAGATAATAAAACATTCTTGAATCTTCTCCAACTTTCATTTTTATTCCTGTGCCCAAGTGTTTGTTTTATTTATTTCCGATTCGCCAGCTGACTCGGCGAGTGCCTGTGAACACAATTAAGTACAGCGCACCTGCTCAATATCCAGAACGCGATGGCAATGTAGAAAACAGTCCATAAAAACTGAGCCATCTAGAAATAATTCCTGGACATGGAATAAAACCAGAAAGGAGAAACTTTCTCCCCGAGACGACGGGTCGGATTCTCAAACAAGCAGACGGCGAATCCTTTCCCCGACTGCCATTTTGATTCAGGTCACTGTCCCACGTGACCGCAAATGGCCAATGAGGAGTGGCTTCTCTGACCGCCTTGTTGTTCCTATCGAGTCGCCATTACAGTCAGCCATATTATGTGAACAATTCGACGATGGACAATTATTTGTGAAGTTTCCAACTGAGGATTTTATCATACATTTTTGTTGGATATCACTTAGGTTATAATTAACATGGAGTGACCATGAGTCACCCTAATCCGTCTGGAAATGGCTGCTCTCTGGAGGATTGCCTCACAAATCTGTTTGCTCTGGTAAGACGCGATTCTCACTTTTTTGTTCCTTTTTGAGTAATGGAGGAATTTGGGGATTAGGCCTATTTGAGAAATTATCTGGTAGTTTAGCCTGTAAACCGTTAATTCCTTCTAGTATGGCTTTTCTTGATACTCTGTTTTTGTCAGCATAGAAAACTTGAGTGTGGACTTGAGGTTGTCAATAAAAAATGCCGATAAAGCATGCGAAACCAACCAGATATTGAAAGCAAAGTTCGAATCTAAGTTAATCGAGCGAAGTACCTCAGTACCGCACGAGGAGAATATTGCCTTTTTGTCTGAGACTTTTGGCATTTGTAAAACTACAGTCTGCTTAGAGGATAAGAAGTACCCTTCTATGCTTGTAAATTGTCGTGTTTACATAAGTTAACGTTAGGTTTGGCTTGATCGCGATTTGAGTGTCTTGCTGACTCCTTCAGATTAAATGGACAGTTGGTGACCTATTAAATTCTTATTCATTCATTAACCGATACAGCTGAAAGGATACCCAAAAGGAGTTATGAAATGACCATTAATGCGAGGTGTTTTCCACTACTTAGTTAGCAGTTCACACTTTACCTCATCTTTGTAGTGGTAGTTTCTGTGGTAAACATTCTTTGGTTACCCAGGATTGCGTGATTGCATAATTCAGCATCATGCTGATCATGGAAATACCAATCACAGATTCCATGTATTAGTACCATCTTTTGGGAGTTGCCTATTTTGTAGGTAAAATAGTGAAGTTGCCTCAAATTCAGAATAGGAATATTTACCCATACAGTGGCAGAAGCTGGATTCCTGTTATTAATTTTAATTGCCATCTGTTTTTTTCCCTAGACATTTAGATTTGATTAGATTTAGATTTCTCAAACTGAGAAAACATGTAATGTCAAGGAAGAAAAAAGTAAAAAGTCGCTGCGTCCAGATGTATTAAACAAGTGTCTGAGTTCAAATATCTGGGAACAAAATTCACCAGCGAGTGTCAAATTGGATAAAGAAATTACCATCTCATGCAGAATAGCACACCAAGTACTGCGACAGCTTACATCTCCCCCACGTCTGCCTCTCCCTTTTTAAGTTTCTTTCTTTTTCTCTCTTTCCTCTCCTCTCTCTCACACACACACACACACATTGTAAGATAGTCCTAATCTGCATTAAAAAAAACATCTCATATGTAAAAACCAATAATAGAATGAAGGAAGAAAGTCTGAGAAGAAACACTAAATACAAATGATAGCAATCTTCTCTTCTTTTGTCAAAATCTGCTTGTGCCGCTAGGCGTCGCAGTCTATTAGATGATCGGCATCCGAGCCAGGGCGCGCTCAGTCGCTTCGTATGCCGTGATGTTATGAAGTCTCAGGTTGTCCGTGACTCCTTCAATCCATCTTCTTCTTGGTCTTCCCCTGCCTCTTGGTGTTTCGATTTTCATGTTGTATGCTCTTGATGCTGGCATCGTTGGTTCCATTCTCATAAGGTGACCAAACCATTTCATTCTTTGCTTCTCAATAATTTGTTTACAATGAGTGAGAGATGGCTGACCTGTTCTCGAGCCCTGATTGTTGTTACGTTTGATGGATTTTCTAATCTCGTAAATTGTTTCTAGAGCAGATTTTTGTGAACTCTTAAATCCACTGCCGATTTAATGATAGCAATACCGGCGCTAAAATCCCTTGTTATAATTTGGGAAGACATTTTTAACACAGGCGGGTTTTACTGGTCACTTGCCATCTACACGGCCTTTGATTTCCATATCTCCTCCATAGCACAGTTCAACACTATTGTCTGGAAAGACACTGAAAGGTGCCAACAAAACAAGCATATTGGTCCCCACCCTGTGCTGCTAGTGCTAGACATGGTCACTCTGTAACAAGTCAGAGGAGAAAATTTGTCGCCAAAGAAATGAGGAATAGACTCGCAGCTCCCCTTACATAGGTGAAGTGTCAGGTGACTAATTAGGAAGTTGCCATGGTGTAGTGGCTAGAGGCTCACCTGTGGAACCGAAGGTCATGGGTTCAAATCCGGACAGAGGGGGACTTCTTTCGAAATTGATCTTGGCTCCCAGGTCAACCAAGTCTCAATTGGGTGCCAGTTAAAGTCCTGGGAAGTAAAGGAAGCCGGTGCAGTGCTGACCACATCGCCCACTGAGTGCGAATTGGTCTGAAAAACACAATCTAGCCCTGTATGTCCAGTGTGCCTGAAGCCATGTTAAAGAGTCCTTGGTTTCTAAAATCAGACGTATTGGACCAAAGGGTAAAGATATCACAGCCTAGATGTAAACCCCATCATAACATGCTAGCTGCCCTCTTTCAGGCAAATACAGAAGAAGAATTCAAATGTGAAATATTTCAGGTGCGCGGTGTAAAAACATGGCTCTGATAGAACACCACTCTGGAGGGAACAGTTGAAGATGAATAGCAAAATGTAGACTGGTATAGGTGAAAAAAACATCAGTAAATGGACAAGCAACAGACTGGCTGAGTTCAGACAAGGGTGTGGGAGAGAATGAACACATTTTTTATTTTTAATCTGTTCCCTGTGTGTTTATTTTCTTCTTCTGCCTTTCATTTCACAGTAGAACGTGGACTAGGGCTATTCAGCTTACTGTACTTAGGGTCCAGATTCTTGAAAATAACATTCATCTTCTGCCAGAAACCCAAGCCCCGGCCTACTAAGATCACTAATACAGTTTGCAGTAATTCATGGGCCACTTGCTAGGCTTTTGCAGGCCAGATACAGCCCGTGGGCCAGCAGTTGAATAACCATGATGTAGACCCTCAACTAGCTTACTTCTTCTTCGCGTTCACCAGCTGTACACTCTGGCCGAAAGTTCTTGTTGCTCGTCCACTACTGAATTGCAGTCCTGCTCCAGAACCTGAATGTTGCGTGTGCATCAGTTTTACAGATCTCATTCTCTTGAATACAGACTGTTGGTTCCTTGCCTCTCCGGCAGATGCACTCCAACTTCAAAGGAAGCTCCCCAATTAGTCGACTCTTGCGACATGCTTTTGGGGAGGCAGTGGGTCTATTCTTGTTTTCCCCACAATGGGGCCCCGGAACCCACACGGGGAACTAGCTTACTAATTACCATATTCCCCAAGTGTAAGAAAATCTCTTACATAAGACACACCTTGATTTTTGAACTGGAAATTTCGGGGGGGGGGGGGATTATTATTACATAAAGATTTACTACCATTGTATAAGGCGCTTAGTGCTGTAAAAGACCGAAATGGGGGCATAAAGACTGAGCTGGCTGCATGGAAAGCAGTTGCTGGGAGACTCTTCCAGGCCATAAGCCGAGGGCTTCTTAGCAAAAGAGAAATTGGCAAGAGGATGAGAATAGATTTCTGCTCTACCTGTATGACAGTTCTGACCTACAGGCCTTAGTTATGAGATATCTGAGAAAGGTTGTCCAAGTGACAAGAAAGGACAACATTCGCAACCATACAATATCAAGATCCTGAAACTCAGACCTTACAAAATCAAGTGGATCAGTCACAGTTAACAATGGTTTAGACATGTATGTAGAATGGGAGAAAATTGGCCTCCATGGAAGGCTAAGAACCAGGGAATTAGACCTCCATAGCGACCCATTGTCAGCTGGGAAAACAACATCTGACGGTTTCTAACAGGACTGGAATGGAACAAAGCCAGAAAGAATGCTGATAGAGAAATATGACGATCTCTCTGGCAAACCTCTACACCCCAAAGTAGAAAAGGAGCGACTAAGTAATATAAGAGAAAATGTCTTATTCTTGGAGCAATGCGGTAATTTCTGTTCCTATCACATTTGTATAAAATCTGATGAATGGGCCACTTATTCACTGGTGTGGATCGTGTTTTTTTTTTCCTGCAGACTGACTTGTGTGGCATAAAGTGGCGCCGTCTAGTGTCAGAGAATGTACACGTGGAGACCCTCGATGACCCAGTCCTCATTGGGTTCTCCCGCTGCATGAATCTGGACATCCTCTGTGTGTGGCGGAGAGTGCAGCGTGATCCAGAACAGCGTCAGCCTGACTTCAACAGCACCAAGGAGCTGTGGATCTTCTGGTATGGCGACGAGCCAGAGTCCCTCAGGCAGGCCCTATCTCCTGACCTGGGTTTAAAAGGTAACACTAATGAGCTAATTGCATTTACTTTGGGGGGTGGGGATGAATAAGCTGTTGTCTTTGTAATTCTGAGGTGCCGGATTTGATCTCATCTGCAGGTGATTTGACAACATGCCTTGCATTGGTTTTGACTGTGGTATCAAGAACTAACTGTTAAGACAGCGGTGGCAGACTGTTGAAGTTCCGGTTAAAATGGACGCTAGACAGCGGCGCTGTTCGAAGCAGAGGCAAATTTTTTGCTTCTGCCGGACGGTGGCCGAAGTATTTTGCTCCATTTGTTGACTGGATATAGTTTCGTCGCCCAGCTTCTGAGTTGAATGCATGGCGTGACCCTGTGAGCTGCGGATTGCATTTGGAATGTATTTTCGACTGTGACCAACGTGGTGGGGTAAATTGTAGATTCAGAAAATGGCGTGCAATGTTGGCGGCGCCCGTATCTGGTTAAAATTGATCGCGTGGACAACTGCTGAACTGTTGGCGACAAGTTCTACTATCATCAATGAT